CGCGTGAACGCGACCAGCGCCGATTTCTCAGGAGAAATCTCGAGGCCTTGTTCTCTAAGGTACGCCGATATTGAATTCGCTGCTTTCTGGAGTCTCGCACGTACCTGAGGACGTGTTACACCTGATGTCCAGGCACAAATATCATCTGCATAGAGAGATATCTGCACGGAATCTGGTATGCGTTCAACGAGACCGATCAGAACCAGGTTGAACAGTGTGGGGCTCAATACACCACCTTGAGGAACACCACGGTGTGTATAATGTTCAGAAGTCGGCCCATCATCAGTTTGCATAAACAATGATCTCATATGTAGGTAGCATTGGATCCAGCGGTACACTCGCCCACCCAAACCAACTGACTCGAGGGCGTCAAGTATGGCTTCGTGAGAAACATTGTCATATGCTCCTTTGACATCTAAAAATAGTGCGACAGATAACCGTCTGCTCATTTTCTGGTGTTGTACGTAGGTCACCAGGTCAATGACATTGTCAATGGAGCTCCGAAGACGACGAAAACCGGCCATGGCGTCTGGATATATTCTATGGCGTTCTAGGAACCACTCGAGTCTGGCAAGGATCATTCGCTCCATCAGCTTCCCTACGCAACTAGCCAGCGCTATTGGGCGGTATGATGTCAGCTCTAGAGGCGATTTTCCAGGTTTGAGAAGTGCAACCAACCGGCTTGTTTTCCACTCTCTGGGGACCGTTCCATCTCTCCAAGACTCATTGAATACTTCCAGCAAAGCACTTCGTGCTCGATCACCGAGATTGCATAATAGGCGGTATGATATGCCATCCGGCCCAGGCGATGACAATCGATTGCATGAAGCAAGAGCCACATTCAGTTCTTCCATTGAAAAAGGCAGGTCCAGGTGCGGGTCAAGGGAATGTGGCGTGTAATGAGCAGTAAGGGCTTCTGTGCAATTTGGTGGGCCCGCAATCTTCCTACAAAAATCTTCCGCTACCTCGATATCCCTTCTATTTTGGAAAAGGGCCAAGGCTTTAAACGGAAAACGTTGTTGGGGAAATGTGCGTAGGCCTCGCACGGTTCGCCATATTTGAGAAAGCGGTTTGCGAGGGTCTAGGCTCGCGCAAAATTTCGCCCACCGTTGAAACTCCAGTTTGTCTATACGACGCTGGATCTTCTTTTGCATGCGCCTGGCCATCCGTAGATCTTGAATGGATTTTGTGCGTCGATATCTACGCTCCGCACGCCGACGAGTCGCACGGAGTCGCTCTAACTCCATGTCCGTTTCTGAGGGCCTTGAAGAATATGCCAGCGTGCGCATCGCACTCTGCGCTGCTTGTTTGATCGCTTGCTCAATGTCAGAGGTTAAGCCTTTTTCACAAGCGTGTTCAATGTTGGTTTTGAATGCTGAAAGATCGATCTTCCGTACGGTTTTCGGCGGGTGGTCGCTAGCAAAGCCTTCGATGGTGAGATAACTGGGGATGTGATCGCTACCATGTGTCTCGATGTCTAAAAACCACTTAACGCTTGTGGCGAAGCGACGTGACACGAACGTCAAGTCCAAACAGCTGCTGTACGTTGATCCTCGCAGAAATGTAGGGCTCCCATCATTAAGTAGAGACAGTTCATGAGTCGATACAAATGAAGCCAGCCTCCGGCCCGTGGTATTGACTTTTGAACTTCCCCAGATTGGGTGGTGGGCGTTGAAGTCTCCTATAATTATCCACGGATCCGGGACGCTCGAAAGAATGTCATCCAGTCTTTGGCAATCAAAACGGGCTGAGGGAGATAAGTAGACACCTATTAATGTGAAGGTGAGGGTTTTCTGCTTCACAGTCAGGCAAACATATTGGTTCTCATCATGAGGCGACACAGGTTGAATGATGTAGGTAAGCTCCCGACGAATATACACAATGACCTTGCTGCTTTCGTTTCGGGTTTTGGACGGGATTGATTCGTAGCCAGATAGCCTGATCTGGTTTGATAATTTCGGTTCACATATTACGATGATTGGGAAAAGGTTAGAAAACACGTACTGACGAAAATCGGAAATCCGTGATCTAAGTCCTCTTGCGTTCCACTGGATGACTGATGCTTCTCTGACGTCTTTGCGGAACGATTGTTGATCTCCTGCCATGACTCTACGCGAGGGAGGCGAGGACTGGGCTCAGCGCGTCCAACACCTGTAACCCGCTTCGAGCGGTTGGAGTTCCCAGGCTTCTTAGTATGTCTGCCATGACAGCGACGAGGGATCGTAACATCGGGATGATCTGTCGATCGACCCTTGACACATCCTCAACGGAAGTAGACTCGGTGGAAGGTGTAGGGCGGCGAGGCCTCGCAGGAGGCTCCTTTGCAGGCTGTGTACGCGGAAGCGTAGGCCACTCATCCGCAGCTGTGAGCTTCTCCACTTCTTTTCGCTTCGTGCTTACTACTTCACTCGTGCTCGGAGGAAATGGGTTATGCGCAATACTCTGTCCTCCACGCCTCCGTCGGCGACTACGTCGCCGCCGTACCCTTTCAGCAGCCTCTCTGTGGGTTGAATTGTCCCTAACCATTTGTTTGATAATGGCGATTTCCTTCTTAATCCGAGGGCATTCCTTGGATGCAGCATCATGCGGACCATCACAGTTTCTGCACCTCAGACTTGTTGCCCGACATGCGTCTGCAGTGTGCGGCTCAGCGCATCGGGGGCATACTGTGGTGTTTGTACATACACTCTTGATGTGACCAATTTTCATGCAGTTATGGCACTGGAGTGGTTTAGGGACAAATGGTCGAACAGGATGTCGGAAGTGTCCCACTTTGACATGCGACGGAATGGAATCTCCTTTGAACATTATCTTTACACATCGGGTGTTTCCGAGGCGAAGTACATTCGCGATGAGAACTCCTTCGTTCGCTGGTTTTATGAGAGTTGGGAGGTCCGAGTTTGCTATGGCCAAATCAATGTCGTAGATTACTCCCGCCGTGCAGGCACCGTCCATTGGAATAACCGGTCGTACTTTGATGCCTCCCAAATCTGATACTCTGCGAAGCTTGTCTATGGCGCTGGCAGTCATTGTGTCCACAGCTAGAATATTCTTCCGCGTGTTCACCCGGATATCCTTAATGTCGTTTGGTGCTACCCCCTCAAAGTACATAGAGAGAGCTTGCCTGTTTACTGCTCGAAGGCTGATGGTGGAGTCCTCGGGCATGAAGAGGATGGTGTGCGGCCAGCATTCTCCTTTTGACTGAGACGTTAATGTCCCTGCTGGTGAAGACGACTTGATACTTCTTCTTTTGGCCTTCCTGCTTCTCACGGTCTCGAAGTCGTCATCCGACGAGTCGTCGCCAGTGGCCGAGTACAGTTCTGTGTCCTCGCTGGTGCTCGAACAGGTGCTTCGTTTCCGCGACGAGCTTGCCAAAAGTGGTCTATGGTCGGACATAGCCGCAGAAGGCTCCACGTCCACAGCCATGATGCAGTGACTATCACCGTTGGCCTCACTGGTTCTGGGCCAGGCGCGCTGATTTACCGAGGAGCTCGCCATAGCAGACCTCTGGCTGGGCGGACCAGTGGATGACTCCGCGTCCGTCGCCTTGGGGCAGGGAGCAGCGTCTCCCGTAGAAAGCGAAAAACTTGATAACAATGCTCGGAGCCGAAAGTAGAAGCGTTCTATGAAGAGACACTTCGTCGTCGTCCGACAAGCGGCAGAAAAGTAAGACAACAAACAGGCGTCACATGATGCTTATTTCGCGACGACTGTGTGGCTTAAAACTTCCCTCCGCTTATAAACGGCTCAGTCGTTATTCTTCTCTGTCATCTGCTACATGAAGTGTCAGCAAAGTGCACTTGATGCCTTACAGATGTGTGATGAGCAGCACGCTTTCCCTCAGGGGTGGCTGTTGCCCAGCTTGGAGAAAAGTATGAATTATGGCGTAGTGGATACCTGAAATGTGTACTTGTATTAGTGTTCCTTAAAGGTTAAAACGGCCACTAGAAAAACTGCAGCAAAGTCGCAGCTTTCGGTGTGACTTCGCTGCGCGTTCAACCAAGCGTTCTTAGATGCGAGGCATTTCTTGGCTAACCAAGGCACTTCAAGCATTTCTATATCTGCGTACCTATCTATCACTCTATCTGTCTAGCCGCCTAAGTGTGGGTGCTCTCAAGATCATCTCTATAAATTGGTGTAGACCGAGGTTTCAATGGGAGGGCAAGACGGTTTCCTTAATATTAATGTCTGGTCATGACATGAATAACGTGAAAATCCTGCCGGGTACATCATCAAACGCTTGCCACCAGATTATCTATCTATCTATCTATCTATCTATCTATCTATCTATCTATCTATCTATCTATCTATCTATCTATCTATCGTAGCTAGCTTCCTCCATGGCCGAAGAAGCGCGTTCTCATTAAAATCTACTGAGCGCTACACCCCAAGGTCTTGACAACTATAGTTGCTTGCGTGATCTCGCCGCAAAACCTCACGTGTTAGACCGACACGGCTTTCTTCAAAACGACTTTGCCTGCCAAGGCTGGCTGCAAGACGAAGTGCTCCTTCTTTTCTTCTTCTTCTTCCTTCATGATGATTAGCATGTCGAGCATGCGCACGTGCCAGGAACTTTCTTCCTCACGTGCTACAAGGGGCTTGATGGTGATCCCTTATCATCAGCAGCAAAATAACAACTAGTCCGCATGGCGTAACGTGTACAAACCCCATTTAAAACAGGAAAAAGAAGAATCAAGCGTGAAATAGAAAGAGAGCAAATGAAAAAAAACGGAAAAAATGGAAAGAGCAAGGACATGAAGGAAATAGATGAAGGGACAGCAATAAATAAATAGAAATATAGAATAAAAGGATGAGAAAACGGCAAAATGGGAAATGAAATCGAGGAGAAGAAAGAAAAAAAAACGAAGAGAAACAACGAAGGCTGCCCTGCCCTGCGCTTCGTTCGTGGTTGACATCTCTAGGGTGAAGCTGCGTTCAATTTATCAGAATCTGAGCACCGTTACAACTCACCCACCACGTCAATCCAAAGAACTGTAAAAGAATTAATCAAAGTCACGTTTATTTCAGAAGTTAGTTTTGTTTGGATTTTTTATGACAATAGCGCTCGCGGTCTCGCCTTAAGGGAGTCGCACGTTTTGGAGGTGAACGCTTTCGGAGCTATTTATGAGCAGCCACCGATTTGACGGCGGGACGGTCACTGTGACAACAAGGGAAAGCGCGTCTTCATGAACCGTTCTGTCTGGTCGAAGGGCACGCCTCTCTTGGGCGCAGCGGGAGTCGTGCGACGCACCATCTGGATGCATTCCGGTATGGGACACACGGACAGACACAGGGTGCAGCCCGTGCAGCTGTCCGTCACGGTCGGAAGGTGCGTCTCGGCGTCGAACTCGATGGCCTGGTAGCCGGAGTCGTTGCACGTCATGTAGCACTTGCCGCAGTTGATGCACATGTCCTGCATAGCAATATATATGAATCGTTAATGAATAAGGGAAAGAAGTGTATACCTAAGGGCTCGTTTTTCGGTGTTTTGACACAATAATAATGAGATCTAACAAACAGTAATGCCAAGGAATGTATAGGGGAAGTTATTAGAACCAATGGAATGTAAATAAGAAGGAAGAAAAGTGGGAGAAAAAAATAACCAGCCGTGAGCAGGAATCGAATCTACGACCTTCGAATAACGAGTTGGATGCTCTAACCACTGAGCTATCACAGCGGTCTTCCCTCCATCCACTTTTTTGGGTTTATATGTGAATTTAGAAGTAGGAGTGTCAGTCAGCGCCATCTATAAGCCAAGCGACGAGTGTGAAACACTCTTTTATGCGCATGTTTGGCGTCACGTAGCACGTGAACTTATCACGAGCGGGCAGCTGATTCGAAGGTCGTAGTTATTTCGAAGGTCGCAGTTATTCGAAGGTCGTAGGTTCGATTCCTGCTCACGGCTGGTTATTTCTTCACCCACTTTTCCTTCTTCTTATTTACATTCAATTGGTTCTAATAACTTCCCCTATACATTTCTTGGCATTACTGTCTGTTAGAGCTCATATATATATATATATATATATATATATATATATATATATATATATATATATATATATATATATATATATATATATTGTCACGTGCGTCCCGCGAAAAAGACGAAGGCGACAGCGCATACGCGCATACGCGCAACGACAAAGATGAGGAACTCTCTCTCACGCGGTTAACAAAAAGACCGACCCGCTGCTGTTTTCTCAGCGTCTTCTAGTACGACCTCTCTCTTGACGTCGGGACACTGGTGGAGGTGCTGGGGCCTGCAACCTGATGCAAGAAAGCGTTGTTCGGGACCGTACACCCAGTCCGGAGCCTCAACGTCTTGTTGCGACTCCAGTACACCGATTCAGCCGGCGCCTATTAGGCCTAAGCCCAGAACTCTTGACGGCATCTCCTGTTACCAACATGGCGGCCCCTTCAGCGTCTGCGAATCTTCCCCCGGCCCCGGCCCAAACGACTCACCCTTACCAGGTAACTTTTGAGACTCCTCGTGTTCCCGAAGTCTTCCGTGGAGAACCGTATGAAGATGTCGAGGACTGGCTCGACCAGTTCGAGCGGACCGCTGTGGTGAATCGTTGGAGCGTGCAAGAAAAACTTGGCCGTGCCTACTTCGCAATGGAAAATAGCGCTCGCACATGGTACGAGAACAGGGAGCCTACTTTCCAAACCTGGGACGATTTCCGCCAAAAGCTTCTCGAGACGTTCCTGAGTGCGGACCGACGGGATCTCGCACAACAGATGATCGAAGCCCGCATGCAAAAGCCGAACGAAAGCGTGGCCATGTTCGCTGAGGATATGGTCCGCCTATTTCGCCGCGCTGACCCTGACATGCCCGAGGCAAGGAAAGTTCGTCATCTGATGCGGGGAGTTAAGGAACCGCTTTTCGCCGGCCTTGTACGAAATCCGCCAACAACAGTGAATGAATTCATCAAAGAGGCGACTGTCATTGAGCGGGCGCTCCGGCAACGATGCCGCCACTTTGACCGCCTGCCCGACCAAACGCCTGTTGGTGCCGCCGCTCAAAACGCTGCCGTTTCCGAAAACTCTTTACGGCAAATGATTCGACAAATCCTGCGGGAAGAGCTGCGGGCCCTCGGCCTTCCGTCTACCGATCCCCAGTTGCTTCTGTTGCAGAAATCGTGCGCCAGGAACTACGGCAAGCCTTTCCATCACCGGCGCCACCACCCGAACCACGTCCACTGTCCTATGCTGATGCCGTGCGCCGTCATCCGCCTGCCCCAGAAGAACCACCCTTTCAGCCGCGGCCCCTTACCTTGCCGTGGTGGCAGCGTGAACCTGTGCGGCGACCACCAGTACGTCGGACCGACTTGTGGCGCACTGCCGACCGTCGACCCCTTTGTTTCAACTGCGGCGAACCAGGCCACATCTCGCGCTACTGCCGTCATCGAGAAACCCGGTTTGGAAACTTTTCTCGGCCCGCTTCTTTTTACTCTGAAGACCCTCGTGACCATGGTGCTGATCACCTACCGACCAACCAAGCGTCTTCACCAAGTCGTCGCTGGCGGTCTCCCTCACCTGCACGAGGTCAGAATTCCCCGAATCGCCAAAGATACGCGGACGCCATCAGAAACCGCTCCCCAAGCCCGTGCCAGGGAAACTAACTGCCGCGACCTCCGGGGGCAAGGTTGCCAATTGCCGAGACGCCAAAAAGACCCCCTTGCCTCTACACAAAGACGACGTGACGACGGTGATGACGAAGACGACAACAACCACGAGTACTACTGCCAATGAATTTGTACGTGCCGACCTCAGCGTTATTATAGACGGACACCACGTAACAGCACTGGTTGACACTGGTGCTGACTTCTCTATTATGCGACAAGAGCTCGCCGACCGCCTTAAGAAGGTTAAGACGCCGTGGAGTGGGCCGAGCATAAGGAGTGCTGGTGGGCAGCTAATGACGCCAACCGGTAAATGCACCGCTCGGCTCGTAATCGATGATTCGAACTTCGTCGCCACATTTGTCATTTTACCGGACTGTTGTAAAGAGTTAATTTTGGGTATGGATTTTCTGCGAGAGTACGGTGCTATCATCAACATCCCAGAACGTATCGTCACCTTTTCCTCCCATCCTTACGTCGACGCCACCACTGAAGAACAACTGCAACGTTTACGTGTAGCCGATGATGTGATGCTCCTGCCGAGATCTTGCTGCCTTGTGTCGGTGTTGTGTGAATGGCCGTGCCGTAAGGAGGTGATAGCGGAGCGAATAGACACGCTATTGCTTACGCAAGGTGTTTCCATAGCGAGAGGCATTCTGGCACTAATTGATGGGCGGGCAGAAGTCCTCATCACCAACTTCAGCAACGAGCGTCGTCACATCCAGAAGGGCACCGCGATTGCCTACTACGACGACGTGGACCAAGCCAGAGATTGCTTCGCTTTGCAACCGGACGAGGCGACCATCCCAGCCTCGACACCTTTGTCTGTCAACGTTTGCTCAACCCTGTCAGCCTCGGAAAAACAGCGCCTACTAGAGCTGATACACCAGTTCAAAAATTGTTTTTCGTGCACGTCGAAAGTCAAGCAAACACCACTGACACGGCACCGAATCATCATTGAAGAAAATACGAGACCGATCCGTCAAAACCCATACCGTGTGGCTCCGAAAGAACGTGAGGAGATCCAAAAGCAAGTTCAGAAGATGCTCCAAGATGACGTAATACAGCCTTCCAAGAGTCCTTGGGCATCCCCCGTGGTATTGGTTAAAAAGAAAGACGGCAGCTTGCGTTTCTGTATAGATTACCGCAAGTTAAACCAAGTAACGAAGAAAGACGTCTACCCACTGCCACGTATAGATGACTCTCTTGATCGGCTGCGGCATGCACGCTATTTCTCATCGATGGACCTGCGAAGTGGCTATTGGCAAATAGAGGTCGACGAGAGAGACCGTGAGAAAACTGCTTTCGTGACGCCCGACCGTCTTTATGAATTTAAAGTGCTTCCATTTGGGTTATGCTCAGCGCCAGCCACTTTTCAGCGTTTAATGGACACTGTGCTATCAGGACTTAAGTGGCAGACATGCTTGGTTTATCTAGACGACGTTGTCGTCTTCTCAGCTACATTCGAGGAACACCTAAGTCGATTATTCGCAGTTCTACAAGCTATACGTTCGGCTGGCCTGACTTTAAAGCCAGAGAAGTGCCATTTCGGTTTCAACGAACTTTGCTTCTTAGGCCACGTGGTCAGCCACGAAGGTGTTCGACCTGACCCGGACAAAATCGACGCTGTCGCAAAGTTTCCCGCACCGCATGACAAAAGAGCAGTGAGACGCTTCTTAGGCCTCTGCGCTTATTACCGACGATTCATCGCCAACTTTTCGTCTATTGCGGCGCCTCTGACGCGGCTCACACGAGAGGATGTCCCCTTTCTTTGGAGCGAAAAGGAACAAACAGCGTTCAACGAATTACGCCAACGCCTCCAAACACCTCCGGTTCTGGCACACTTTGACCAGGAAGCGCCAACAGCACTTCACACCGACGCAAGCAATGTAGGCCTGGGCGCCGTACTGATACAATGGCAAGATAACTCCGAGAAAGTGATAGCCTATGCCAGCAGAGCTCTCTCTCGCACGGAAGAGAACTACTCGACTACCGAGAAAGAGTGCCTCGCCGTGGTTTGGGCGGTTCTCAAATTTCGACCGTATCTGTACGGCCGCTCATTCAAGGTCGTCAGTGATCACCACTCGCTTTGCTGGCTCACTAACTTGAAAGACCCATCCGGCCGTTTAGCACGCTGGAGCCTTCGGCTTCAGGAGTTTGATATGACCATTATTTATAAATCAGGGAAGAAGCACACCGACGCAGACTGTCTCTCGCGGTCACCCGTTGAGCCTGCCGCTATTAATGACGAGTCTATGGACGCCGCATTCTTGGGAGTCATCAACGCGGCCACTATCTCACAAGAGCAGCGCCGTGACCTTGACCTGCTTTCGCTTATTGATTTCTTAGAAGGACGACGGGAAGACGTGCCGCGAATTTTTGCGAGAGGAGTGCCATCTTTTTGTTTAAGGAACGACGTCCTATACAAGAAAAACTTTTCTCCCACCGGCAGCCCATACTTGCTCGTCGTCCCTGCATCACTGCGAAAAGAAATTCTGGAAGCCTGCCATGATGAAGTCACCTCTGGTCATCTCGGTTACACTCGAACATTGTCCCGTCTGCAAAACAGTTACTACTGGCCTAACCTACCTGCTGCTGTAAAACATCACGTCCAAACATGTGCCGACTGTCAAAGACGCAAAGCACCACCCGGCAGGCCGGCAGGCTTATTACATTCCGTTCAAGTACCAGCAAAGCCATTCGCCCAAATCGGAATGGATTTCCTGGGCCCATTCCCAACTTCTACCACAGGAAACAGATGGATCATTGTCGCCACTGATTACTTGTCTCGCTACGCAGAAACCAAAGCCATGCCGAGGGCCACAGCAGCAGAAGCGGCTCATTTCTTCATAGAAAACGTCGTCCTTCGGCATGGTGCTCCAACAGTTCTCATCACGGATAGAGGAACTGCGTTCGTGGCAGAACTTTTGGAGTCGGTTCTCAGGCTCAGTGGTACAGCTCACCGGAGAACAACGGCGTACCACCCACAAACAAACGGACTAACAGAGCGGCTTAATAAGACCCTCGCAGACATGCTCTGCATGTATGTCGACACAGAACACAAGAACTGGGACGAAATCTTGCCTTATGTGACCTTCGCCTATAATACTGCCCGGCAGGAAACTACCGGAATGACGCCGTTTAGTTTAATACACGGGCGCGAAGTCACTACAACGTTGGACGCTATGCTGCCGCACGAGTGTGACGACACTCACGCTGACGCCGAAGAATTTGGTCAGCGTGCCGAAGAAGCCCGACAGCTAGCCCGCGTGCGTATTTGTCACCAGCAACACAAAGATGCGAAACGGTACGACCTACGACATAAATTGGTAACCTACAAACCAGGCGACAAGGTATGGGTCTGGATCCCAATACGTCGACGCGGACTTTCAGAAAAGCTATTACGACGATACTTTGGCCCATATCGAGTCACCCGACGATTGAACGACATCAACTACGAAGTTATTCCTGACGGCAATTGCAGTTCCAGTCGCCGAAACTGCGCACCCGAAATCGTGCATGTCATCCGGATGAAACCCTACTTGTCCAGCTAACTCTCGTTTGTCCTGTGCGTGCCGGTGCATATGTGCGTTTTTATAAGTAGAGTGCCTTGGCTACGCATCGGGACGATGCCATTTTTGGAGGGAGGCAAATGTCACGTGCGTCCCGCGAAAAAGACGAAGGCGACAGCGCATACGCGCATCTGCACGCTTTTATGCAGAATGCAACAACGACAAAGATGAGGAACTCTCTCTCACGCGGTTAACAAAAAGACCGACCCGCTGCTGTTTTCTCAGCGTCTTCTAGTACGACCTCTCTCTTGACGTCGGGACAATATATATATATATATATATATATATATATATATATATATATATATATATATATATATATATATATATATAATATCTCGAGGGGCATTGGCTAAGGGGGGCGGTACAGATAATGTGTTAGCAAAATATGTATACATAATATCTACACATACATAGGCAAATAATGCATATAATAAAAAAGCAGTTCAACTTATAAACATGTAAGCAAAATACATACTATAAAAGTGAGTTACAGTATGTGAACGTGAAATACAAAAAAAAATATTATGACAGTAACTACAACCTAGCAATAGTGCAAAAACATCGGCAACAGTCCTATAAACACTGATGGTTACGAAGATGCGATAGAGCCGTTTTTGGTGCATAAGTATTTTTTAAGAGTGTGATAGAACTTTGTGTGGTCTTGTTCTGACGCAAAATCATCTGGCAAATCATTCCACAAACGAATAGCTCGTGGAAGAGCTGACTGGTTGAAAGCATTGGTATTGCCGTACAAGTGTGATAAGCTAAATGTGTTATGTTGTCTGCTCGAAGTTCGATGTGCTAGATTAAGGTGAACAGATGGCATCATGCTGGTGTGGATGAGTTTGAGAAATAGTGATAAAAGTGAGATGTCGCGGCGAACTTTCAGTGGCTCGAGTGCAGGACTATGTTTAATCTGTGTTACGCTGGACGGGTAGCTGTGATTACGCGCTATGAATCGACTACCTCTTTTCTGTATACATTCTAACTTATCTATGAGGTATTGTTGATATGGTGACCAAATGGAGGATGCGAACTCCAGTTGAGGACGGATTAGAGCAAGATAAGCCAGTTTGCGCACATCGGAGGGAGCACTGTATAGATTTCGGCCCAGAAAACCTAATGATCTTGATGTGTTGGCACAGATAGGAGTGATATGTGTGGACCACGAAAGTGTAGAAGTTAAGTTTATGGCAAGGTATTTGTAATGATCAGTACGTTCGACAATGCTATTATCAATTATGTATTGGCTAATAAAGTTATCACGTTTGCGACTAAAGGTAATTAGTTTGCATTTGGTAACATTAAGTGTCATCTGTCATGTTTTGCACCACTCAATTATATGCTCGAGGTCTTTTTGAAGAGTTAGATGATCGCTATTGTTGCGGATGGGACGATAGATAATGCTGTCATCGGCAAATATCCGCATATATGAGGATAAGTTGTCAGGCAGGTCGTTAATGAAGATGAGGAAAAGTAAGGGACCAAGAACACTGCCTTGTGGTACACCAGAGGAAACGTAACAGAGTGATGAAGAGTGATTGTTGGCGATAGTGAATTGTTGGCGGTTAGTTAGGAAGTTTCTGAGCCATGTTAGCGTGAGTGAATCAAGTTTTAGTGATGACAGTTTTAATATCAAGCGACAATGAGCAACACGATCAAATGCCTTTGCAAAATCAAGAAATAAACAATCTGTCTGTAGATTACTGTTCATGTTAGAATATAGGTCGGTGGTGAACTCAAAGAGTTGAGTCTCGCAAGAAGGACCCTTTCGGAACCCGTGCTGGTTTGAGAAAAAGAAATTGTTAGATTCTAGATGCGCATAAATGTTAGAAGCTATGATATGCTCAAGCATCTTGCAACATATGCACGCCAAGGAAATGGGGCGATAATTTCCAGGTGAACTTTTACTACCACTCCTATGAACTGGCACTACCTTCACTATCTTCCAGTCAGAAGGCGACATTCCTGTAGCGAGCGACTGCCGAAAAATGTGAAACAGGATATTGCCAGACACATAAACAGTGTTCTTTAATATTTTTGAATTGATATCGTCAATACCAGAAGATGATGACATCTTCAGATATTCAATAATTTTAACTATGCCTTCAATTGTGATATCTATAGGTGTCAGGAATGAGTAATCGCGTTCAACAATTTCTGGAAGATGAGCATGCTCGCTAGTAAACACGGATGAAAAGAATGAATTAAAGACATGAGGACAATCATTGTCGGCAAAACGAGTGTTATTTGCATCTTGTAAATGAAGTTATCGCCCCGATCAGGACTTATTACTTTCCAGAATTTTTTCGGATTAGATTTTAGGAGTGAAGGCAAATCCTGGGAATAGTATTTATTTTTTGTAGTTGTAATTTCGTGGCAATATTTCTTTAGGCATTCCTCGTATCTATCCCAAGACGTGTGTGAACGCGAATTTTTTGCAGACCGATAAAGCCGCTTCTTTTTGTTTCTAAGTCTGCGCAAAGACTTGGTGAACCAGGAATTAGTTTTATCAATCGTAATCATTATCAACGGCACGTGTTTTTCTATTAGGTCTGAAATCGCATTCTTGAAAAGAGCCCAGTTTTCCTCAACTGAGCGACTGTAAAAGGAAGGCAGCAGCACAATGTCAAGGAAAGACTCAAGTTTCCTGTTAATGGCATCGTAATATATATATATATATATATATATATATATATATATATATATATATATATATATATATATATATATATATATATATATATATATATATATATATATATATATGTATATATATGAGAGAGAGAAAGAGAGAGACCTGAAAGCCAACAACAACTTTTCATATCTATGATTTGTGTGACTTGTTTGATTTATCTTACTGTAACATTCAAATGTCAGCATACAAATTTTAGAAGTTATAAACAGTAAAACTTCTTTTTAGGTAATTTAATTTGGACATACAGAAGCCATTGCTGTGCGGAAGATCACTGAGTGAGTAGAGACAGAACACCACATTAAACGTATAGGCTAGCCGATTTATTTTTTTTTTTTTACATCAAAAAGTGTTGGAGAAGCTGGCTGTGGGCCGACTCGCACTCATCAGGATCCACAGTGGATTTTGTTACTCGTTCATCCACCAAAAAATAATTTCATGCGCGGTAACGCAACGTGTAAAGATGGTAACCTCAACAACGCCTACATTATCCTCACAAATCGTTCACGTTGTACAATGATGCTTTTTTCTATTGATTGTGTTTCATTTTCTCACTAGTGAAGTGTCTTCTCAGCTTTGGCTCCGTATCAATTCACGTGCAGATATAAACGGACTCTTACCTCGTCTATCAATGCCACAACCTGTTGGGTAATGTCCAGGTCTCCGAAGGTGCCGATCTTTTTGAGTGACTCTCCAATCACATCCTGCGTAATACAATACAATTAAAGTTAAAAATTGCTGCTAGAACCTTGGTGCGAAACGATTTGTTTCTGCGTTCGTTTCGACCAAGCGCAGGGGTTCTTACACCTTCATCATATCTGCACATTCAACTTGATTGTCATATGTTTTTTTTTTTTTTTGCGGGAAGTGCAACTTCACTAAGATTCGAAGTAAATGCAGGAAATGGAAATTAACAGCCCCGCTTTGTAGCGCAAAGCCGCAAAGTCACCCATACGGATTCCTAGTGAAATGCAAGAATGCATGCGGATTAAGAAGTCAAGCTATAAGGATTAAAGAAGAAGGAATCCGTATTTATTTCGTGCTCTCGTTTGCCAGATTTCAGTTTTGCCCACTTTGTACAGTGACTGCCCCAAAACGACCTTGATTCTGGGTTCACTCTCCAGGGCAGGGTGTGTTTTCTCTGCAACTGAACTTTCTTTGTGAACGATAGCGCTTGATATGGTTTTGTGCTGTAAACAAGTGATTGCTTGGTTGGTAAAACTGTACTTTTCTTTGACATTCCGCCACCGCACAGGATTTCCCGGAACCAATTTGAAATTTCGAAGTAAATATGTAGGCAGCCTTCAAAAAACACCAAGGCCTGCTAGGAATGTGCATCACAGTCACAACAAAAGCTAGAAAATTGGCATCTTATAGTCTTTTTTAAACACTCTTTGGGTACTTTATACATGCACACTTGCAGGGTACTCACTATGCCATAAATCATCATTATTTTTGTGCAGTAGGCAGACATCCACTATGCCATCCTTGATCATTCTTTCGTGAAGCGTGGTACCCGCTACACAACTGCAAGAAAGCGTGTGGAAGTTTTTTGATGCTCTGGCTGAAGACAATGAAGAGTTATGCCGGAAGCTTTTGTAATGTGTTGGATCATTCTACGACCCACCGTTACGCTCTTCACATAATTGTTTCTTTACTCTTCGACAACGTTTTATTACGACTCATATTGTCTTGATTCTTTTCTCGACCTCAAACCTGCCTAGGGCCAGTTTGCAACAGAATTCAAGCACCAGCGCTGCTCTCTGCTAGAGTACTGGGCTGACATGTAGGGGACCTGGGCTGACGAATCCCATTGTGGCATTGATGTTTTTTATTAGTCTTTTTTTCATTTCGTGTGATTGCGGTTAGGGACACCGTTGGTGACGGTGGGCAACTATGACGCACATCACCCTTGTTCTGATTTCATAACAGCTATCGCTGTAAGATATGTTCAGGCCAGGCCCGTAGCCAAGATGATACCCTAGTTCCCTCTCCCCCTTCCCCCCCCCCACCATATCGGAATAGAAGGGGGTGTTTCACCGAGAGCAAGCAATGAAAATAGATGTTGTTCAAGGCCTTCAACCAATTCCTACCACCCCCTGCCCCGCCTGAAAAAAAAAATGCCTGGCTATGGGCGTGGTTCAGGTGAAGTTCACACGAAGGAACTGGCTATAGCCTGTGTGCTTGCACGCCTCGTAAGTGTGTTACGTCGTCACGCTGAGCAGGACATCAATGTACTTCTTACCTGAACATTTGGAATCTTCCCTCTGAGCTTCCTGATATCTCGAATATTCGCTGCCACCTTGTCTTCTGAAAGTAGGTCAGACGTGACTTTCTCTTTGGCGCCGAGGGCTTCCTTCATCTGCAGGTACGGCCCGAAGTTTGGCAGAGTCTGAAAACATAAAGCGAATGCCAGCTTTTAGACTGCTAGACGGAAAGGGAAGTTTGATTACCGAGCAAATGGTAACACTAGTTAAAATACTTGAAGCGGTCAGACGATGTGTGTTGCTGTCGACTGCGTGACAACGGTGGTTATCTCAACCAGTCACGGATAATGGCCTAGCAAAAAATACAATCACATATTGTTGTGCGGGTGTAGTTTATGCAGAGGCGACGAAGAACGCTTGTCTGTCTTCCGTGCTGAATTTATTCGCCTGTTATACGTAACTCACTCAGACATCCTGCTGACTCGCTAACGCATTCAAAAGTGCGTATGGTTTTTTGCTATTTTTACCATAAACATTCATATTAGAAGGGGGGCAAAGCTTAAACGCTGCCCCCCTCACCCCGCATTGCCGAGTCTGAAAGCAACCCGCGTCGCAATAGGTGCGCAAGAAAGTGAAGTGACGGCATAGTAGTACTCACAAAGACGTGCCTTCAGCACCCGGCTTACTGTGGGTAAAGGTATGAAGTAAAAAGCTCCTAAGATACATCATAAAAAGAGCTCTTGGGCGCCTCCACAAAAACATGCATGAACATTAAGTCTGCGCTTTAAACCGTGATGGATAGCCTTGAGTAAAGCTATGCGGACCGACTTGGGGCCCTTTTTAATGATTATAGGGAGGTGCGGGCAGGTATGTCTATGGTCGCCATCTATGTGCGTAAAAGCTTCTGAACGACGAAGTATTAGCTTGAATAAACTTCTGTTAGCGTCCCAAACTTACTGAGTGGCCTAGTTCCCATAGAGCAGGGTTCTCTAACTCACCTCGGCTAACGGGCTGCAATCACGAAGATCTGCTACCGCAACTGCCAGGACATCGGCGAAGAGTGGATGGTTGGGGCGAGGGGGATAGGTTGCACAAAATGTCAGGTAAGGTTGCTATTTAAAAGGATACTTTTAGCCTGTCTTAGAAACAGGTAAATTTTTGAAGCGGATTTGGCTAGGATCAGCATTCCAACAACGTATGCACACTTATCTCCAAACTGATTGTACCTAGACGCCCAATTTCGAAATATAGTTTTGTTTTGTTGTTATGTACCAACATATGGTAACATCACGGGGTTACTCACGCAAAAAAAATGCTTTAGACCCTTCACTACTGCGCAGTTAATCATCATATTTATTTTTACTTATCGCACACATCTCCCCGTGAAGGGAACCCTGAGTTGTATGCGAAGCTGCCATTGGCCGACTTAAAGTTCGGTAAAGTGGTGCTCTTTATTCATCACCGCAGACGCTCATGGTTGCACACACACTTTGCGAGCCCTCGCCTTTGTCGCACTCATGCTCATGACTTCATTCATACTACTACGCTGTGTGTGTGAGAAAGAGAAAAAGTAAACGCTTTTATTATACAGAGCAGTGCAGCGCCGCTGTAGCGGTCTCCACTTATACTAGAGCACGCACCGGAGTGGAGCGAGCGCTCTACCACAGAGCCACCTGGTGGGTACTCTGATAATTAGCCAGGCTGCGAATATGAGCAAGGGACAAGACTCTACCATAAGCTACTAACAAGAAAATAATACGAAGACGGTGATGTGTGGGATGTGGACCACGTGTTTGAGACGCCTGGTGCACAGTAACTGTGGTCGCTAGAGTTGTGCTGCACTGAGCATGCTGAGCATGGAAGTAGGAACTGTGCTACCATTCCCGTTTTTTTTTTTCACAGTTCCTAACTGCGTCACGTGTGCAAATCTGGTCTTGCAAGTGGCTTACCATTATTTGTATACTGGAAAACGACTCTCATACGATGGTCAAAACGTCATTTACTCATTGTTAATAGTACTTAGGTCGGTGTAGTATAGGTATGTCAGATGTTTTTGCAGTATATCAGGGAAACCTTGGACTTCGGCAAAACTGACAAACTGCGAATGCCAATACCTTGCTTCCCAGTGCAGATGGCTTGAGTACCGGCTTTCCTTTCTGATGGGGCTGCACTGGGGGTGATTGACCATCCCAATTCTCCATTCCCTCAAGGTTCTTCACGTACAGCGCTGCCTTGAGACCCGTCATGTAGTCTTCGATCACCGTAAAGTCTTGATTCTGTACTGAACTGCATACCTATGGAACAAGCAAAACATTCCAGACTGTCGAAGTCACCATAACAAAAAAAAAAAGGCATACGCGGCATCATCTTGAAGGGAGATTAAATTGAAACACTAAACCAGTTTGCACAAGTACATTATTCATTGGAGTCTGAATTGCTTTTAATTTCATCATCACGCTTTCATAATAAGTAAGAAAGTTTTTGTGCAGTAATCTGCATCTGAACGTCATTATATACGTCTCGTTTAGGGCTCTTTTTTTTTAATTGGGCCGCTATGGCTCTGTGGGGTTTCCATTCCATCATACCAGATAATGTACACTAACTACCATACCGGCATTTCCTCGGTTATTTCTTCCTGGACGTCACTAGGCTATGTTTTAGGCTTTGTAAAAATTAGAAAGTAATTTATTTTTACCCAGTAGAGGGTGTCAAATCTACGAAGTCACGGCGAGTTGGTGCGCAATTATGAAGGTGGCGTCTCCCCGTTTATTTTATTTTTTGCGTTATATATGACTTGAAAATTTTGTTTCGCGATAAAAGGAATCTTTTTAGTATTGCGAAGAGGGTAATTTTTTTTATACTGGTGTCACACAGGCATTTCTGATGGCGATCAAGGCCGGTGCGGATTCGACCTCTTGATAGTGATCAACAAGCTGGTAACGGCTACACGGTATTGCGTAATCCATATCGAATTTGGTACTGATGTCAGTCGAATCGTGAACACAAAGTCAGTAGAGTACCTAGTACTCTAAATCGTTAACCACTTTTTCTAAACACAAAGTCAGATAGTTATTCACGGATCACGACTTTCTTGATCCCGATCAGCCCTGATCACGATTAAAATTTACTCTCTATTAGCACCTCAACCCGATCGAGCCTTATCTGGGCCAAACCTGACTGCGTGAATGCTAGCGCGCAGCTGGTATAATAACAAAAAAAAACACTTTCAGGAGCGAAGCACCTTTAGGGTTCGTTTCGTAGGCGTGTCATTTCGTCACAGTGTGTTACGCAGTCACGGTCCATTGTAAAACGAGCAAGTGCCACAAAAAAATGGGTATATCTACTACTTGCCACCATTTCGGGTTCATGTTTATTCGTTATTATTGCATGCAAGAAAAAACGGGTTGCATAATACCAAAGTACGAGACTCTGAGGGGGACCTCCTATAGTTAGTTACTGGCGTACATTGAAGGTAATCTCAGCAAAACAGCAAAAAAAATTAGAAGGCAATCAGTACAAAACAAAATACTATACTGAAAAAGAGAGTATATATTCACCAAAGCACGATTATACAAAACTTAAAGATAACCATATGAAAGAGTGAAGCGATGATGAAAATATATTTATTACAGATCAACAAAAGGTTCATTCAACAGTCTAATTTCAGCGTTGTGTTTAAAAGATTGCAGTGACCGAAATGACTTAACGTGAAGATGTACGTGATTTTAAAGATGAGTACCATAGAAGCGAGCTCTAAATCAGCCATATTTCGATCTTATTTTAGGTAACAGAAGATCCGTGGTAAGACAACTCTCGAATGGATAGAATGCGAAGCTGTTGATCGATTGGTAGAGAATGGGAACACAATAAGTAATCACCTTGTTTCGAAGGCGCTAAAGCGGTTTCAGATGAATGGTGTATGTGTTGCCCCACGATGATTGGCAGTATTAACTAAAAATGAAGCAGTGAACAGTTGGCCTAACAAGTAATCGACGAGCCTGGTGAAGCTGAAACACGCGTCTCTATATGCCACAGGGAAAAGGAAGTAGAAGCACCCTAGAGTAAGTTGCAAGTTTTCCAACGACGTCAATGAAGCGGTAACACCCTTTCCTGCATGGCCAGGCTTTCAGTCATGGCCGTATACTAATCCCTCATAAGAAGTATATCTAAAAAAAAACTAAACGCTTCGCCCTAACCCAGGTTTCACTTAGGGTAGTCGAAGCACCATTCCCTAACACGATTCGCTTCTCTGCAGGTTTTTACTTATTTTTATAATGCATCTGGAGTTGAACACGTCCGAGTGCCATTTACTGTACAGGTGAGCACTGCAACAGCACTGCGGGTTTAGTGCACATGGTGATTGGGGGCAGAGGCCGAAGCCTCCTCCCCCGTCATTCTAGACGGGTGCAATAAACGTTATTTTTCTCTCTCTCTTTCTCTCTCTCTTTCTCTCTCTCTCTCTCTCTCTCTCTCTCTAATGCATATAACGACGTTATTACGGCGTAAAAGACGCAAACGCAACACCATGGTTGCTATCAGAGAAGGCTGAAGAGTTTACTTGTAGTACTGAAGCTCCAGCCTGGAGGAACTGGTACCCGGCCTCGGCCGAGTCTATGCCACCAGTGGCGAGGATCGGGAATCCAGGCAGAGCCCGGGCGATGGCGGACACGGCTCGCAGTGCAATGGGCCGGATAGCGTTGCCGGACATACCGCCGTACGTGGTGCGCTTCTCGATGCCCACGCCCGGCCACGGGTCGCTGTTGTACTTGAGGCCCATCAGACCGGACACCGTGTTGACTGCCGTGACGCCGTCGGCCTTGCCTTAGTACGAGTGGAAGAACATGCCGGTTAATAAAAGGTCACAGCTAGTTGGGTTAATTAAAGGCGATCGGCGTATTCCAATTATTACAGTGGTTTCACGCTCATTTATTGGGGCAGGAGGTCTTGTATTGCTGTACTCTTGCTGCTGCCGTGTGTCGAGTGATATCGGCCGACTTTAGGGGTTACACGAGGGTGGTAGATTTTCCCCTGACGGGCATTGACTAATTTTAAAATAAAGTTATCTCTCTCTCTCTCTCTTTATCATTAATGTGACACATTTAGGTTAACGCTATCGACTCAGAGGCGCCTTCCACGCACACGCGCATACGTTCAAGTATTTATTCTGCGCTATCAATCTATCTATCTATCTATCTATCTATCTATCTATCTATCTATCTATCTATCTATCTATCTATCTATCTATGTCCCCAGACATGCTGCTATTAACAGTACAAAATTAACCGTATAACGGTAATACACAAATCCGAAAAGGCAACAGCGTTACACTTATCCTCCCTCACTTACCTTCATAGGCTGCCTTGGCGATTGTGACGACGTTGGTGACATTTGGCGTCAGTTTAGCGAAGAACGGAATCTTCACTGCCTTGCGTACCCAGAGGCAAATGTTCCGAACCAGCTCTGGATCCTTGAATGATTTGAAAAGGCAAGCAGTCGCGATTCACTCGCAAGGGTGTGCTTTTTTTTATTTATTATATTTCGTATGTTTTCATGTAGTGGATATATTTGTCATACCTGACCACAAGCAAGTCCCATTCCTCTCTCACCCATGCCATGCGGGCAAGAGAGGTTCAGTTCAAGTGCATCTGCACCTGCTCTCTGTAAAAAAAAAAAAACAGAAATAAAACAGAAAGCTTACCTTTTACTTGCTTTATTTCGCGCATACATTTTATCAGCGTATTACCGGCATACATGAATTCATAAAACCACGTTATTGAATAATCTATCCAAAATTTGAATGTACTGCGTTTTTCTAATGTTGTGGTCATACCAACGTATTGGGAGCAAAATTTTCTTTTTGTTTTTGAACTCCACGAAGTTCGCATTACCTCTGCTTGTTGTGCCAGTTCTGTCCAGTCCTTCTCGTTGTACGTGCACATAATGCTGGCTATTACAATCTGCAAAATAAAGAACGGGGAAGTGAAGTTGTTTAAAACTGGACATTGTAATCATTATAAACGTCAACATCGGGAGACTGACCCTATATGGCGAGTCAAAATGTCAGTATTTTCTGAAGTGCTTTGTACAGACCCTTCATCTGTGCGGCTTCTTTTCTGTGTTTTTTGTTAATTTAAAGTGCGGTTCTTGAAATACAAGTAGATTATAATAGGTTATTCTGAGAAAATTTAAGTTAGGCATATATTTCTTTTTTAGTAGGAAACAAGTACTACAGAAACACTCCATAGTTGAGCGATGTCACTTCTGATTATGGTATGTATAGAAATTACTTCCTTTCTGCAGACGTGTTTTCTTAATGCTAACATCGTGATAACATTGCCAAAAGATAATGTCAACAGCTGACAAGACATCTTAAAAGTGAAGGGCACTCTGATAGGATAGCTCAGTTTTCTTTCTCTGAGGCTTGTAGAAACAACATTTATTTTATTTTATTTTATCCGGGAAAGGGTCAAGATTGGGACAGGTCAAGTAAGCGGTCACTCTGAAAACTTGCGTAAACACTCACGTGATCAGGAAAATCCTTCTTCAGCTCAGCGATGCTGCCACACCAGTATGCCGACGTCTTCTCGCTGATCAGCTCGATGTTGAGGAAGGAGCCCAGGCCCGGTCCGTACGTGTGGCCGAATGTGGATCCTCGTATGATGCGAGGCGAGACATTGGTCACCACGTCCTGGACAGATAGTTTCAGTCAGCAACCAAAAAATCGCGTGGTCTCGCGTGGATGTTAAATGGCTGTGCTTGCAAACACGGACACCAGAGAAGTAAAGATACCACAACCTACACTTTTGTGTCTGTGTCTGCATGCCCAGTCTTTAACATGAATACGTACCAGCTAGATGTGCTCTCTCTCACTGTAACTCAATAACGGATGAGTCAGAGACGGCTAGAAAGCTACAGTCATCTTCTTTCTCTTTCTTTTGAGTCGATGTATTGATCTTCAACCTCACTGACGTCGTGTGGCGTCATCGCAACGTCAGTAGGACGATAGCGACAGAATCCTGATGCCGTTTGAATCTGACTTCATCCCGCGACGTGAGGTTGTGGGGCGTCATAGCGACGTCATGATGACGCTACGAATTTCGGCGACTTCTTACTTCATGATGACCCCGTATGGTGATGTCATCATGAAATGAGACTTTTTTCATCACTCGGATTCAGCAATTTGTACAACTAAGAAGCTTTCTGTATTGGGGATTTCTATGAATTTCTATATGGCTTCGGGCTTTACGGGTGGTTGTCAATTTCTCTATCTTAGTCATTGCGCCCCCTTGCGGCATTCCACAAAAACTAACTGCAGTTATTATGGCCCCCTAGATTAGCCGGCGGTGCTGGCTCATCTTGGAGGCCACGCAAGATGTGCACAAACTGCCGGCGTACGTGCATAAGTTCCCAAATGTAAACGCACGAAGTGAGCTGCAGACCTTATTTAACAACCTGCATGTCCACTTTCAAACCAGCACTTCTGAACATCGCCTATTACTTACTTTGTCGAGGCCGAAAGTCTTGGTCAGCGCGAATCCCCAGCCAGCTTTGAAAGCTCGTCGAATCATGGCGCTGGTTGTGGTTGGTGGAGCGCTGGCGAGACCAAAGGGGTTCTTGAACTTCAGTCCGCAGAATTCCACGCTGAGATCCACCAAGTCGATGGGCGTGTAGAAGCGGGGCAACTCGGGCACTGGAGGCACGGGCAGATTGTGCAAGGACTGCGCGCAGGCATCGTACAACAAATTACTCTAAATCCACAAAACGACCTGCAGGGAAAAATGAAAGCTTGAGAGGGAAAAAAAGTCAGTAAACGGGGGTTGCGATCTCGAGCCGACTTTTTAACAAGTATAGACTAGTCTCCTTCAAGGCTGAATTTCCAGCCTTGGTAAACTTGGGTTGTGGGTGCGAGCCGACTTTCCGACGGGTGAACTGGTCTTCTTCAAGGCTGAAGTTCCAGCCTTGAAGAAGACCGGTCCGCTCGTCTGAACGTCGACTCGAGCCAACAACCCATGTTCACCGACATTTTATTTTACTTTACTGCAAAAGATAATAAAGCAAAACATGGTGCTAAGGGAGGTTGATCACTTGCAGTCGCGCATGAAGAACTACGAACTGCTTGGTCACTCAGTCGAACTACATCCTTGTTCTAGCGCTTTCACTCCCAACAAACTGTTACGCCACATAATATGGAAGTGGCAGGTAATGTTCCAAAACTACATAACAGATCACCCTATACTCATTACGGCATGCGTGTCAACTTCTGTATATGTTATCGACCTCTTTTAAGTACGTTTATGTTAAAGTATAATTGTTTAGATTTTACGTTTCCAAACAATGGTATAAGATTACGAGTGACGCTGTATGGTAGGGCTCTAGAAACTGCGATCATTTTGGGTTCATTAACGCGCGTTCAAAGACAGGCAGACATGCCTCCAACATTTCGTTCTCATCAACATGTGGCCGCCATGGCTGGGGATCTTTATCTGCAATCAGGTAGCGCAACTCTGCATCTCCGAAAGTGTACGAATACAAGAGTAAAAATTCGTTGCCTTCAGTATTTCTCCGTGTTGACAGAAAATTCCGCATTTGCTGTCACCGCCTTTTCTGTATTCTACATGCCTACATGCCTGCATAAGTGAAAAAAACTGTATTATAATGAATGCTTTATGTAAACTGTAATTCCTGTCACAATTAGAGCTCGCAAATAAATAATTTAACTTGCGGAATGGTATGAATCAAACTTCGACGACGAGTATGCGGTGACAATGAAGGTGACAAATTCCTTTCGATTAGACTATATATATATATATATATATAAATATATATATATATATATATATATATATATATATATCATACGAGATTATTGCATACATGTCATACGTGTCATATGCGATTTTGATTTTTCAATGCTGCCACCTAATATTTCTTTCCTTCGCGTCTCGACGTTCATCGATTACCCCGTTTCACCAGAAGATTACTCATGAAGGTGTTCTCTAATCCTTGACGAATTCATTTCGACTGATATATATATATATATATATATATATATATATATATATATATATATATATATATATATATATATATATATATATATATATATATAAAGACGTTGCGAGGAAGGAAGCGCACTGGCTCCGTAGTATAAACGGAAGCGAAAAAGCACGACTAACGAGGAAACACTTTTATTAATCACATACGTTTCGGCTGGTGGGCCAGCCTTCGTCAGCCTTCGTCAGTGTCACACTGACGAAGGCTGGCCCACCAGCCGAAACGTATGTGATTAATAAAAGTGTTTCCTCGTTAGTCGTGCTTTTTCGCTTCCGTTTATATATATATATATATATATATATATATATATATATATATATATATATATATATATATATATATATATATATATATATATATATATATATATATATATATAGGGGCTGCTCTCTTTTGATACATGCTTTCAACATTTTTTTATCAGTTTTCATCGGCTAGTAATTAACCGCTTTAGTTAAAAGCAACGAATGCGCTGCGTTCATCTTACCTGCAAATACTTATGAATGTACCACGAAGCCGTCTTTCCGTCGTTGACGGCCTCGACTGTAGTCTCGGAGACTCCAGCTAGGTCACCACCACAGAACACCCAGGGCTCACTGGTTTGCATCGTCTTGGTGTCAACTTCCGGCAGCCCGTACTTGTTCAGCTTGAGTAAACTGAGTGCCTGGACGACTGAAAACGAATACCACACGTGATCCAACTTCGTATGCTAAGTTTTGCAGGCAGCCATGGCATCAAGAAATGCCCGACAGCAAAGCTTTGTTATGAAACTGACAAAATATGTCGAAGCATGGGCCATGCCACTCACGAACGCACACAACATCATCGTTCTCCACGTGTTCCAGACGACAGCACAACGAAGCCCTCTCCCAATGACCGCCAGTTAGTTCTTCGTTGGGCGAGCTGATTTTAATTTGCCCCTGCGAGCTTCACTTCGTCACATACCGTTTTTGAAAAAAGAAATCAATATACTAACAAGCCATTGTGCGAAGCTTTTTTTTATTTTTCTACCTGTAAATCTCATACGACCCAGAAACTGCATACCTAGTAATCTTTTACGAACAGACATGAATCATTTGAAGTGTCGTATGATCATAGAGATTATTGCATACGTGTCATACGTGTCACATGCGATTTTTCAATGCTGCCACTTGACATTTCTTTCCTTCTCGTCTCGACGTTCATCGATTACCCCCGTTTCACCAGAAGATTACTCACGAAGGTGTGCTCTAATCCTTGATAAATATTTATTGCTATTATTTTAAAGTGAGCAGGTTACTATGCCCTTATTTTTCATTCCCGGCAGCACTGGCATGCATGTCCCGTTCAGTCACGATCTCTTGCCATTTATTAGTCTTGTTGCTGTTCTTACGAGCGCTTAACCAACTCAGACAAATAACAAATGCTAGCCTTCGTCGAATTATAATCTTCACTATCATATTTATATTAGCTCGTTATTCTGAAACCACGGACAGCAGATTTACTGATTGTCAATACACTAGAAGGTACGTTGAACGGCCATGTGAAAAATCGTGTCCACTCACCCAATAAGTGTCTTATATTTCCTATGACAGCTGCGCTTAACAAACACTACATTGTTAATGGATGGATGAATAGATGAAAAACTTTTATTGGGGTCCTGAAGGATTCCACCCCCGTTTTATAGGGGTAGGATCATGCATCAGAATAACTTCTTCGTTGATTAAGTGGATGCTAGGACAATAATTATATGTGTATTTCACCGAAGAAGTGGCGAAAATATCATCAAGCGAAAGGCTGGATATGAAGTTTTTATGAAGAGACGGAGTACTATGGTAACATGAGACTGCTGTGTAGAGGGCTAAAACAAGCCACCGTGAAAATGGTAAAATGGACGCGCAATAAAAGTTCGCTGTTGGTTGACGTACACGATGTAGTCCAAAAAATTGGCTATATATAGTTGATGCAATATAACTTTCCAAATACTGTGGGAACGACAGCCTCGCTAAGCTCCTGCGCAGAAGGGATCATAGTCGTGTGCTTGCAGTGTGCGATCTCTACACAATGGTCTCCCTAGGAAGGCCGTACTACGAGCGTTTTGGGTCAATGATCTGCATTGTAAAAAGCTCTCCTAATAGTTTAAAACACATGCGATGCTGAAAAGTGGAGATCACTTTACGAAAATGGTGAAATAGCACAATGTATTGCAGAAACTGCGGAATATGCCTCAGCGCAGGCTCACAACATCGTATTCCAATGAATACCCGGTCACATTGGAATAAAAGGAAATGGAGAGGCTGACAGCCTCACCAAGAAAGCCTTGAACGAAGGGTGGGATTGCGCAATCCCTATGTCTGGGGCGGATATTCGACATTTTATAACGCAAGGAGCTAACCATTGTTCGATGGAGAAGAGATTTGATAGCCCTATATCAGAGGAAGCAGTACTTTATGAAGTTGATCCACACAGAAAGTATTTCATAGCGACAGATCTCCCACGACACTTAGAGACATTGATTCACCGACTTTGATTGGAAGTAGCCTACACAAACTGCTTCTGGCACAATATACATCGATCCAACTCCCCAGAATGCCATTATGATCATGCAGAAGAAAATGTTCGCGATATTCTATTGTAGAGCGTTAATACGCGAATGAAAGAGAAAAAAATAGGGAACAAATTGGCAAGTTTGGATAAACGGCCCCTAACATTAAAGAAATTACTTGGATCATGGCCTGATATGCATCTTCAGAAAAAGGCGAACATCTTGCTGACAGACTTTTTAGTGGAGATCGGACTGGATAAGCGCTTGTGATCGACAGCGAGAAGTGATCGATATATATATGAAATGTGTTAGTGCATATACTGACAGTAGAAAAGAAGGGGTGCATGTGAACAATTTATGACAGTGTGAACTGCTGCAAGCAAATTGTGTATTGGCATGATATTTGAAGTGGTTTCAGTGTGCAATTAAGCTATTTTTTTTCGGATTGTTCATTTTTGGGTACCGTTCAGTATTATTCTTTTTTTTTCGCTGCAGAACTTCTTGATATGGAGTAGCCGAGGCAATATGGACCTCAACATCTCCACAGCAAAACAGTTAGAAGCGAACAGGTTATGTGCCGTGAAACGTTGTTGGTTGTAATGTTATATATACATCGTAAGTGTGGGCTACGAAAAAACGTTCTTTTATCTCAACCTTAGCTGCGGGACACTCCAAAGCATGTGTAGAACGGAAAGTATGTTTCCGCATTAATTGCATACAGGTGGTTCAATATCAGTGCGCAAAACTTTGTGCGTACTGAAAGCGTGCCTTATGACAACACGTCCGTTCGCCGTGCTTTTGTGAGTAGGGCCGGGGGCCCCAACTGCAGTTTTACTAAACCCTGTCTCAAAAGTTCTCTTCAACAGCGTGGAGGTTACAGGGCCCCATAGCCAATAGAAAGGGCGATTAGCTCCTCCACACGTTCTCGTCCACGCTGCGTCGTCTGCTAAGCGTCCCCCTGGCGCCTGCGTGCACACGTTCGGCGAGCAGACGGCAGCGCCAAACGCAGACAGCGGGCTTCAAACAACGCTAGTGCCCGGAGCCCTCCACCTCGAGTTTATCACATCGTCGTCGTGCGCTCTGTGGCACGTAAGAACCCGACTTACGCATGTGGTTACTTTCCATTTACTTCATGGCGCTTCGATAGCGATGCATTCGTGACTACACTGCATGTGCCGTTTCCATGAACCACTAGCTATCGAATTCTCGGTGCGTTAGGCTTAGCAGACGTGGTTAAATGAATGGCTCATCTCACTAATAGCGAAAGAGTGCATACCTGATATTTTGTCCTTATAGTGAGATAGCGTAAAGTGGTAGCTAATTCTACCATTCATTTTTTGTTTTTCTGTAAGTCGTGTAAGTGAGCGTCAGGGGCAAGTTCAGATAAAAGCAGCCGACCGAGTCTGCATGGGTGCTGTCTTGTTGATTTTTTAACCTCAGTTACCCGCGACTACTGATACAACAATTAAAGAAATATGACGTAAAAGTGATTAAGAATAAGCATATCAGTTGTAGACATACAGCAGCAGGTGCTAAAAAGGCAAATGCCTCAACCTTGCCAATTGCTACGCAATTTCTGAAACTATGTTTTCCTTCGCAAGCATGTGGCTTGCTTACCCGTCGTAGCGCTGACAGTGCTGAACCATATAGTGGCGAGACAGAGCATATATCTAGCTTGCTACGTTTTTTGGTATCCCACAGGAGATTTCATTGCTTTTTAATACAAATACGAATGGCTGAATTTAAATCCGTGGCGCATACAGCCGTGGCACAAACATGAACATTTGTTACAGTAATCCAGTGTTTTTGTCAGCAATAACACAACCCTCAGTGTATCTGTGACATGACAGCCAACATATAATGACATCCTGGGTTTGGTGTACCGGACAAATTGGTACGACATACTGTAAACTAAAACAGTGCAAATACTGTGGCTTTCCAAAACAAACAATATAACATCAACACAATCATTATTATTTTCCTTCTATAAAACAAAAACGACATATCGTTACAGGGTACACATCGAAGTAGGACGTACAAAATTAGCCAATGCACCTGAATGCCGTTGCGGCATCATAACCTAGCTTGAGAGAACCTGGGGCACCAGCTTGTCTGGGCTTCGGCCTTGTCCGAGCCGCCAGTCTTCGGGCAGGCGTATAGCTATTCAGTTTTGTGTGTTGACTGTGTTGCGCGATTGCAGAAAGTTTGATGCGTTTGATCAAAGCTGACGCGGTATCCAAGGGGGTCTGGGTGATGACATATTTTTGTGAACAGTGGCTGACACATGCCTTCGTATAAAATCTCCGCTGTAAGACGCTTTTAATTGAGTAGCATACATGGTGTAATTATTTTGCTCAGTTAACTAAGAGTGTGCAAGCTTTAGCCGCTGAACGAAAACTTGTGCTGATACACTAAGTGTTGTTTGAAACACTTAGGTCGTATCAGAATATTTCCCGCTGCTTTCTTGTATCCCCATTTTTATGACTATGCGATGACATAAAAATGTTATGTTTTATGCCTATGTTATGTCAATGTTATGGTGAGCAGCGGAAATTTTATGGCGCATGTGAAATGTAACAAAAGCAGGTTTTATCTGTATTTAAATCTGAGTCATTTGCGAAACCACTCGCCAAGGTTTAGTAGGTCACGGTGATAACATACCCCAACTAATCGCATGTTCTACCCGCGTTTAAACGAGTGCGAGCATGAACGTGGCTGAAGAAGAGGCCAAACGAACCGGGCTCATGCGATAACATCCCCCTGCGTGTTAGACCTGCTTGGAAAAGAGAAACGCCCCGCACATCTTTAACGAGTGGCGAAGGGGGGAGGGGGGCTTCGCTGTAGCAGCAACTGCGAACTTGGATTCTTTACTTAGGGCCCGGTTGCGATAGCTGGCGCGCGCTATCACAGAGAGAATCGGTGGTCGGCGTGTGCGCCATTCTACGTACTGAGCTCTCAACTTGAAGAGACTGTGCCAAAAGAGCATTTCTCCCTGGAGCGGCCGTACACTCTTATATCAGCATTTTCTTTTGAGTTGCGTTATATCCGATACAAAAGAGTTTGCTGTCAGCCTTACTTCGTATAATATATTGTTACAATTTGTTGCTATCGCAATCATTGCTTCGCGCTTGCAGTGAAACTTTATTTTTGTATAGGGAACTAATATTCTTCCATTGCCTGTGCATCTTGTGTTTCAAGGTTAATAATCTTGTTCGTCCGGGTAGTTGCGGTGAGCCTGCTTTGGTACATGGTTTTATACCTAACACTTTCTCTGATTTCATGCGTGAAAATGACAAATGACGTATGTATAATTTTTTACTAGGTATGCAAACATTTTGGCGGTGCTTGGTTGTTGACCCGGAGGTGGCGGGTTCCATCTCGGCTGCGGCGGTCACAATTTGGATGGAGGACAAAGTGCTACATGCCCATGTTCTGTGCGATGTCAGTGAACGTCAAAGAATACCAAATGGTCGAAATTTACGAAAACCTAACCAATGACATAATCATCCCGGTTTTGCTCGCATAATCTGATATTATTATTATTATTATTATTATTATTATTATTATTATTATTATTATTATTATTATTATTATTATTATTATTATTATGCAACAAGGTTAAATTTCTTATCGTTCAAATGAATGAACTCTTTTTGTATTAGTTTGATTACCATATTTTTTAGTCATCACTGATCTTTCTGCCTATTTATTATTTATTCATAACTGCACCACTAACGTTCGTAATAATCAAAACGTAACTGAAGTGGCATTTTCGAAATCAACTTGACTCAGGTGCGTAGCCAAAAGTTTCATGTGAGAGGGGGGGAGGGTTCAAGCTCCTCCGATTTTTTTTCTTCAACTTTACTTGCGTACATACGCGCGCACACTAGAAACGCACGCACAAACATGCACGAAGTATGGCTGCGTTCCTCACTTGACTTGATCAGGAGCGGGTGACACTAGTGTGCCCGCGTTACCTGAGTTGTCTCCGAGAGTGGAACCGAACGCCGAGATGACGAAGTTCGCCTTGAGTCGGACGACTTGTTCTTCGTCCTCCGTCCAGCTGCCGTCCTCGGTCTGCTCCGTGCGCAGGAACTCCATGCCCCTGATGCGACCCTCGTGGACGAGCAGGTTTCGCGGTGACAGGAAAGGAAGGAATTCGCACTTCTCTTCCTTCGCCAGTTCCATCTGCGGGACATTTATATGCCTCACTGAAACTTAAGGCGGCCTTGAAACACTTTTTTTTTTCAAGTAACCATTGAATGATTTCACTAAAAGAGCTTATCGCCTCATTAGAACACCACCGCAAAAAATGTTTCGCATCAGTCCACTACATGCAGAGATGAAAGCTCTGTTGAAATTCCTACGCGACACCGACTTGAACAAGCGACTGTAACAGCAATGTCACACACCGCGAAAGACAAGACTGGACTATGACTGAGTGTGCGCGCGTGTGCTGCTGAATGTGCTGTTTCTCTCTTCCCTCTCTGCTCTCTTTCATCTCCTCCATCCCTCTCCCATGCGCAGGGTAGCAAACCGGCTGCCTATAGGCTGGTGAACCTCCTTGCCTTTCTTTTCCCTCTATTTTCCTTCCTTCCTTCTTTGTCGCACGCTGCAATTGCTTTCTCTCTTCTCTCGTCCCGATGAGAGAAGAGAGATGAGGAAGCTAAGCAGAGAGGAATAGCACGGGGAAAGAAAATGCGTCACGCACGCCTGGTGGCCATAAGAAATTCTCTCTCTCTCTTTTTTTTTTTTTGTTTGAATAAGCCACTTTCAAGTAATCGTGCACGCGCAATCTTTCTATACTTTCAGGGATTGTATCCAGTGATCGTCGATCATCCCCGCCTTAAATTCACAATTAATTTTCGTGCTGCTTAAAAAAGGTGTCTTGGTGGCAGATCACCACTTGGTCATTGGATTTTTCTTTTTCTACTTCTCTGGATAGTTCTCGTACAATTGTTTCCCTTAGCAAGACAAACAACCTCAAATATCGATTCGCGAACGTCGCGCTGCGTTCGCAGCGCTGCGTGGTTTTTTATTAAGTGAGAACCAAGATGGCGTCGCACTCACCTCCTCCGGGACAGCGCGGATGTTTGTGAAGCCCTTGCGGAACACGACGAAAACGCGCCTCGCCCCGCATCGAAGCGCTGACGTGGCGCAGTCAAATGCCGTGTCTCCAGCTCCCAGGACAATTACGTTCCCGTACAGGCTGGGCAGCGACTGCTTGCAGTGGCACATTCCTGTCGGCAGAGCGGCGTTTGTTCTGCATGACTAAGCCCCCCTCCCTTGCTAGGCTGTATATTGGCCCGACCCTGGCTTGGGGACTTGGGGCATTTCTTTTGTCGTTTACACTAAACACAGTACAAGTTGCGTCGTTCAAATAGAAGCAAAATCGAGATAATCCCTCTAACGAAAAATGGCGAAATTCCCCGATAGGATAGCAAAAGCGTAACTCAATTTTCTGCGTCATGTAATCTTTGGCATTAAATATCGACAAAATTGAGTCGCTTTTGCATCGCTATGCTTCTATAACTGGGCTGTGTACATCGGTGAACAGGGCCATGTGGCTTGGAGGAGTTGCGTGCACTTTAAAAAAAATGTTGTGTCGATATTGTCATACCCGTTAACCAAAAAAGTCCATATAACTTTTCTAACCAGGAATGCCGGACAACAAGTCATGATTGCAATGAGAAGAGGGCAATAGGATCAAGAATATATACCTTAACCACGCAGTTTCAGATTAGGCTCTAGGAAAATGAATTTGTAATGCCTGATTTATTCATCGAAACATAAAAAATAAACGAATCAGTTGCTATTTCTTGGCGAAGGCTGTCGCTTCCATCTTAATTGCGTGAATAAACTTTTGTGTGTCTTATCTTTCAAATGATCAACAAACTTTTTTGTCTTGGCTTGATTACCATATATATATATATATATATATATGTATGTGTGTGTGTGTGTGTGTGTGTGTGTGTGTGTGTGTGTGTGTGTGTGTGTGTGTGTGTGTGTGTGTGTGTGTGTGTGTGTGTGTGTGTGTGTGTGTGTCTGTGTCGCCACCGCGGCGACAATCTTGGGTGGCTCGACACACGTCGAGAACTGACCAGCACGGGATAAGAACCGGATGTGGGCGTACACTGACATTTGGTTTCGTTCTCAGAGTTGATAGTGGTTCTTCCTCTTTTTTACTTTTTTTCCTTTTTTTCTTTTCGTCTTTTTTCTCTTTTTTTTCTTTCTTTTTTTTAGTTCTCTCTCACTCTCGCAAACATCTTTCAAGGAGAGATGGACGCGGCAGCAACGAAGCTTGGAAGTTCATGTTAGTATAACTCATCCCCTGCCTGATGAAGGGAGGACCCCTCCCGAAACTGTTGGGAAATAAATATATTTATCCTTGTTGACAACGCTCCCGTAGTGCCATATCCCATATATATATATATATATATATATATATATATATATATATATATATATATATATAATTTCATTTACTTGAGCAGGCTATGTACGACAAAAAAACAATAAAGAACTAACCTGGTTTGCTGGCTTTTGCTACGAGCGGTAAAAATGTCTTTGATGTGAAAAAGCCGTGGCTTGAATCTAGGCCTTCGAATATGGGTATCACTTTTGGATCTGGCAGGCCTGAAATAAATGAAATGTGTTGTGGTTGATTTAGACACCACAATGGCAAGAGCATTTCGTTTCATTGTATACAACAGCGACATAACGATGCCTACCTATACCAAGAAAGACTGCGTCGTAGTCCTTCTTAAGAGATTGGAGAGTGAAGTCCTGACCGAGTGCCTTGTTGAACTCCACCTAGAATGTCATCCAAGTTACATATATTACGTTAGCTTAGCATCACCTTTGTTAGACTAGCACAAACAGACGAACGATATTGCAAAAGTGAATAATTGTCTTCACTCACTCTGACGCCTAAATCCTTGACGAGATCGAGTTCGAAGGAAACGACATCGAATGGCAGCCGGTACTGTGGAATTTCTGCTGAGCTGAAAGAAGGGTACGATTCCTGCGCATGCTATCATTCAGTATAATTGGCTTTTACAGCACTGCCTTGGAGATGCCAAATGCAGTAATAACTTTACTGTTCAAAGCGGCATTATGATGACATTGTGTTTCCCACTGTGCATCAATTATACCTAAATCTGATACCCTACTTAATGAATATTCATGTCACAGCCAGCAAGCTTTAAAAAATTATTTTCCTACTACGCAACCAGCAAAGGTAGCTCGTAAGATGATTATAGGTGCATATGCCAATGAGCAAGCATTCGGACACAGCAAACTATGAGATTGCTTGAATACAACATAACTCTGTGTTGAGACAAGACAGAAAAAATACTGATGGAAAGGTCATGACAGCCCTGTTTTTATTCTATATTTTTTAATATCATGAATCAAGTAGCCTCGCAAGAAATTATGTTAAACTGCACCAAAGTTTATATCTACTTTAGCTGAAACTACAAACGCAATTATCCGTTTGCGCATACACGTCATTTCAAGAGGACTAACGCTTTCTTCGCTACATCAAAAACAAAAAGACTAAATTGTAACCCATAGCTTTACTTCCAACAACGGCAGGCTTAGATATATGACTCGGTGACAAACTTTGACCCTTGTTCTCGTTGTTAGTCAATTGTTTCCACGTAATAACTGTCGACGCAGTTACCATGAAATGACAGTAACACGTAAGCATCGTCACAAACTCGTCCAACGCTTTCATGCCCCGATCGGTCACAACTAAAGCAGATACAAGGAAGCGATTACAGCAGCAGTATGATTCGGAGGTGTGGCGGTTTGGGCTAGTTGGTATGACATGACGGTATGACATTGGTATGACATGACGCGCTTTATCTACCGCCAGTACAATACAGTGAAAAGCTTTCAACATGGCGCCACATCGATCGCTTGTTGAACCTCCGACAGATGGCAGCGATTTGGCATAAAGTCTATGGCGAACTATAATCGACATTCAAACTGCCGGGAACTCCCGCTATTATAGGCGTGCGCTTAAAAAAGCAGGTAGGGAGGAGGGGGGGGGGAGGCGCCATCTTTCCTGGAGTGCAGAGCAATGTCTGTCCCATACTTTGACTCAATAGGATGGGTCGTGAAGAGCAGCACCAACTGTGCATAGTGTCAATATGCGTGTGTAGGGTTCTTTTTCCGCAGAGGGAAGCGCTTTGACGAACGTGTTCATCCCCCCCCCCCCCCGAATGACACCCTGTGATCGCCTATGCACTCTATACTCATTTGGTGCTGCTCTCCATCACATGGAATTTGCTCAAATTACCTACAGGGGGCTCTGACGCTGCGATCGTTCAGCGACCATGGAAATGATTGGTAGTACACAGATTTGCCAATTCTTCGTACTTGCGGGTGACAAATCGTACTTGCGGCTTCGTTTATTGCTGGTTTCGGTTTCGTTTTGAAGAAAAAAAACCTTTCTGAACTTCGTGACCTGATTCGAAATGGTAAGCCTAAAAGAATAAGGTGGTGAAGCGCAACCATTGAACATTTGCTGATTTTTGTTTCGGGACAAAACATCTCCAAGTCACACGAACACACACGGAGCCAGAAGCAGGCCAGAAATACAAAAATTAGACAAACTACGTGTACTGCCCATCATCCCCATTCTCACCGAAGCTCCGTGCGTTGCATTTCCCAGAGTTTTCTCTATTGTATATTAGGAAACTCTATGCTACATCACACATAACCACAGCTTACCTGAGACCGCCAAAGTAAGGCTGCTTCTCATAGATAACGATGTCCGAGTATCCAAGCCGTGCCAGAAACGTGGCGCAGCTCATGCTGGCCGGACCGCACCCCACGAGTGCGATTCGGGCCTTGTAACTTGCGGGAAGTTCGCGGGGAGGTGGCAGGTCCGGAGACCGTATCTGAGGCACTCGCATCTGCTTGAAAACCTGTCGTGACACAGTGCGGGAAAAATGTGCACCTTGTAACAGGCTGTCACTCACACCTCCGCTTTGCTTTGCGGGCAGTTATCACACATCTGCTTTGCTTTGTCGGACGAATAGAATAATTGGTGAAGACGCGTTTCTCGGCAGGTGGGTTCATACTCGCTGTTAGACAGAAAATGGAGCTCGAAACAAACTAAGAACGTAGCGAAAAACAATTTTCGTCCCTACTGTCGAGGTAATTCCTGTCGTGTTGTCTCTTGCCTGCGAGTCCGTTTTTACGATGCTTCCTTATTGTGCATGCATTACGGCTGCTTCTCAAAGATGACGGAATGATTGGTTTCAATTCAAGCGCCTGTCATGTCTTGGTATTGTGTTGTGTTCGTTTAATGCGCTATAGTTTCTGAAATATAATTAATAGGCCCAGACATCGCCCCTCTATCTGGGGTTTTTTTACATATCAACTACGTACATCTAGAAAATGAAGTTAGGTCCGGATAATTCGCATTGTATTAGGAACATAGCCTGCTCGTAACAAAACACCCGGTAACTACCGCCCCATTTCGCTAACATGCATCTGTTGCAAGCTGCTTGAACACATCATCACCTCTCATATATACAACCATCTTGAGTCAAATAACTTCTTCTTTCTAAATCAGCATGGTTTTCGGAAAGCGTTATCTTGTGATACTCAGCTATTAGAATTTACATCTGATTTACATAACGGCATGAATAGTAATAAAACTGTTGACTGCATCTTTTTAGACTATGCGAAAGCATTTGACAGAGTTGCCCATTGTCGCCTAATAGCTAAGCTGTCTGCACTTAAACTCGACTCATCAACATTATCTTGGCTTAGAAATTTTTTGTCAAATCGACAGCAGTTTACATTTGTCAATAACTTCAGCTCGTCTACTTCATTTGTTTCATCAGGTGTGCCCCAGGGCAGTGTATTAGGCCCTCTTCTTTTTCTGATTTATATTAATGATTTGCCTTGTAACATTTCTTCCTCAATTCGTCTTTTCGCGGATGACTGCGTAGTGTACAGAACTATTAACTCTGAAGAAGACCACGTACATTTACAAAAGGACCTCGACTTAATAAATCAGTGGTGTGACCGTTGGCAAATGACGCTTAACACATCTAAGTGCTGCGTACTTTCTTTCACCCGTAAGAAATCGGTTTTTAACTTTTCTTACTCTATCTGTTCAGCTTTAATTCCCCGTTCATCTACATACAAATACCTTGGTGTCCATCTTTGTACTAATCTTGCCTGGTGTACTCACATCGACAAGATATGCGCGAAAGCAAACAAAACTCTGGGATTCTTGCGCCGGAATCTGCATCATTCCCCATCTACCATTCGGCAGCAGGCCTACCAAACGTTTGTACGTCCTCAGCTGGAATACGCTTCATCGATCTGGTCTCCGCATCAACAATACCTAATAGATAAAGTGGAATCCATCCAAAATCGTGCAGCCCGCTTCATCACTTCAATGTATAACCACCACTCCAGCATCACCCAAATCAAACGCGATATTGCCCTTACTAACTTGGATTCCCGCCGCTCTGTCTCCCGTCTATGCCTCCTCCATAAGTACTACTACAACTCGTGGACCAGTCGTCTATCGCTTGACATTCCTTCGCGTACATCTAGTCGACTTCATAATCATCTCAGTTTCAGACGCATCTTCGGCAACACTCAATCATTCAATAATTCTGCATTGCCACGCGCCATCGCAGTTTGGAATAGCCTTCCGGATGAAATTGTTTCTGTGAGAGATCCGGTCAAATTTCGTGAGCTACTGCAAATTTATATGTTCTCTTGATTTTGTATAACGATGCTTTATTTTTTTTTCATTTTGTTTTTTTTTTGCTGCATTTGCTTATAGTGTTTGTTCTTCTCCCTTCCATTGTGCAATTTTCTTTGTTTTTTTCGATATAATTTTTTTTTATGCTTTATGTTATTGTGATTTTTCTGTAACCCCCCCCCCTACTCAGTGCTCTTCTGGGGCCTGTAGGGTAACATGAATAAATAAATAAAAAAATAAATAAAAAAGAAAGTGGTTTTTAAAGCAGATGGGATTTCTGCAATAATTGTAATTTGTGAAAAATGATTTCTCCTCGACGTGGCCGCCGTATTCTGGAATAGCCGGTCTTTACTGTTACCAGATTTTCAATGTTTTCATTGAATAGAGCAGAGATACCAAGTTTCTAATTGTTTTGTATATTAAAGTAAAATGATAGTTCTAATCACAAAAAATCTAATCAGAAAACTGCTGCAAAATTTATTATTATTATTATTATTATTATTATTATTATTATTATTATTATTAATATTATTATTATTATTATTATTATTATTATTATTATTATTATTATTATTATTATTATTATTATTATTATTATTATTATTATTATTCCCTCAGCTTGTGCATTTTTACTTGGGATGGATCTATTTTGGTTACTCACGCCGACATTCGTGGTGGTCAAAATTCTTGTGAAAGAGAGTATCGTTTAGCTTCGTCACTGTGGATATTACACTAAAGCCTCAGTGTGTGCGTGGCAAGTTTATCTCGAGAGATAAGAAAACCGTACGTTTGTCTAGCTTGATAGCCTTTATCAGCAATTATGGCCAGACACTGGGTACAAAGCTCCCTTCCTTTGGGTGATTTGAAAGCAATGCGCTACCCCGGAGTGATTAGCAAGTGCGTCTGATAATTTGGGTCAACCGGAATGGCCACTTAGGTACTTTGGCCTACTCGATAAATTAAAGCGAGACCTTTACATGCTTCATAAGAAGAAAAACCTGCTGCGAAATTACCACGTGACCTCACAATCGCCCGCTGCGCGTGACTTCGTCTTTTCGGCGCTGACAAGCTGGCGATGATAGGCTGGCGAGTTCTACTGGTTAAAAAATGCAGCTCATGTGGTACCAAAATTATTCTACGCTTTAAAAGAAAAAAAACAGCCATTTGTTTTGAAGCGTTTCCCGCACAACCATCTCTTTTTTCGTCATGTATGTGAGTGAGCTGACCATCTTGAGGACGAAGCGATTGTGAAAGCTTTTGTTTCTTCTTTTCCTACGTACATTGTCCTCACATGTAGTGTTTCGCTTAATGGGTGTTTGTGCTTTGCTAGAATTTCAGTATAGATTGATTGATTGATATGTGGGGTTTAACGTCTCAAAACCAACATATGATTATGAGAGACGCCGTCGTGGAGGACTTTGAAAATTTTGACCACCTGGAGTTCTTCAACGTGCACCCCAATATAAGCCCACGGGCCTACAACATTTCAGCCTCCATCGGAAATGCAGCCGCCGCAGCCGGGATTCGATCCCGCGACCTGCGGGTCAGCAGCCGAGTACCTTAGACCACCGCAGCGGGGTGAATTTTATATATAGTCTTTTATATGTAGGACATTTTCCCCAACCGTCGCAGTTAATAAACAACAACAAAACTTTGAATATAGCAGCATGCGTGCGGTGGCGTTTTATCTTGGTGAGATAAATAAAATTGAGATAACACTAGAGACGCACGCCGCAGTGACCCATGGGGGCAGGAAGTGCATACGTCATTTTGAAGAAAAAGCGCGAGAATATTGCTCGCTGCAGCCGTGCCAAACACTGCGAAAGTTCCCGGTAATACCTCCAACCTAGGGCCATTTATCAAGGGCGGTTAGTGTCGGGAGTCTCTCACATATCACCCGGTAACAAAACAACATCCGGTTGTACAAGCAACGCGACAGGTAGCGCAGCAGGCTTCGAGCCATCTATTACACGTACATAGTCGGCGGCTCACAGCCCCGCTGCTCACGCTCTAGCGTTGTATCGCGGGAATAAAAATAATAAAAAATTCTGAGGACGGACCAGAACGCCTCTCCCTTGAATATCCTTTGTTCTCGTGAGAGCATTACATCAGATGCGTAATTCAGCGTGTGTCGGGCGATATTAAATGCGTAACCCTTTTAGAAGGTCTGGCATGCCCTGGGCTGTGATCGTATGCTTTCGTCTTGGCTTGGCATAACGCAGCCAAAACTACGTATACGATAGCCAGCCGTAGCATATTGAGCACGCGCTCGTGCCAGGCAGGTCGTCTTCCTCTTCTTTTTCGAGCGCAGGCAGTGGCATTCATGAAATTTTGAGAAGAGAAAGCGAGCGAAATAGATAGAAAAAATGCAATAAGAGGAGGAGAAACAGAAATACGTAGAATTAAAAAGGAAAACAAAACACGGCAATGACTTGAAAAAGAATGTATAGGAGAAAAGAAAGAAAAAAAACTAAGATAAACAAACGCTGCCCTGCTCCGCGATTCTTTTAGCCTTGGCACCACTGGTTCGAATCTGTTTTATTTATTTATTTATTTATTTATTTATTTATTTATTTATTTATTTATTTATTTATTTATTTATTTATTTATTTATTTATTTATTTATTTATTTATTTATTCATGGTGCGTCATGTCACGATTTATGCGCCGCATCAACTTCAGTGCCCTGTTGGAAGTACTGGCATAGATTATTGACTGCGTATTGGTTAAAAACCATATTGGTTAAAATAATAGTCCTTACGTCCGTGGCGAACTGTTGGAGGCCTCCAATATTGATGGGTCCTTCCTCGGAAGCGTACAGATTGCAACCTCCAACGCAGAGATCGCTCGTTGGGCAAACCATGCCGCAGGTGAGACCCAAGGGATTGTCCGAGAAGATGGCCTTGGCTGCGCCGTAATAGTTCTGCGAACAACAAGTGTGCAATGGCATTGTTTTTCTGGCTGCCACTCTTGGTAATTGGTTACGTTTCATGGCTATGAGTCATTAATTTAAAGTTCCGATTCATGAGCAGCTAGTTGGGAATTCAAGTAGCAGTTATACAGGCGAAAAAAAGAAAAAAAAACCAGTGCTGTTTCAGATAAGTTGGAGAACGTGGAAAAGGGCTCAGAGTGCTAAAAATAAAGCTTACAGGGACAGATAGCTCTGCCAGTTCGTAAGCATTCATTCGAAAAAGCAGGGCGTTCAAACATGCACACCTGAAATAATTCAGGACAAACTGGCGTTTGTGGAGGGAATTAAAGCAATGCTTTTGCGTATTATGGCTTGCCAACTGCTTTGCCGCTGTATGAGTGGTTTTTTTCGCGTTGGGAAATACCATTATTTACCAGTGTAATAAATTTATTTTTATAATATTGGTAATAAAAATATTTTCATTCAGTACAAAAGCAATAGTGAGTATGAAAATAAAAGCGACACTACGCTAGACGTAGTTACCAATCCCATATATATTTTTTTAATATTTTCACATGCAACAAGTTGTACGGAAGTTTCAGCGGCGGTCAATTGAAATTGCGCGGTGGGCTTATTGATTATTCATAGCAAATGAGGTATAAAGCATCTTGGACGGGACAGAGAAGTTGACACATAACCCAAACACAGTTGTCGTTCCAGTCGTGGTACATTGGATGTATTAAAGTGCACTTCTCAAATAGTGCTGTTTAGCACATAATGATTGCGTTGCTGAAAGTTAGCGCTGTGATTGTGTTATGTGTCGTCTTCTATGTTCTGTCCTGGATGCGCTATAATATAACTTCGTTTCATTTGAGCTAAGTACAAAACAAAAACGTGTAAGCTTCCTCGTGGTCGAAATGACAGCGGATCGTTTAGTGCAAGAGCTTGCGCTGTCCAATTAATAGCACTTCGCACCCACCTTTGTCGCAATGCTGCTGATAAATGCTTTGATGTCGAGCTGCGTAGGACAGCTTTTCTGGCACGGAGCGTCAGCGCATTTTAGACACCTGTAATAGGAATGCCAAGCATACCACGTATGTAATCAACGTGCTTGTTTGAAAGATTTATTCATTTATGAATCATTCGGGCATGAACAATGGCAGATCGGAATTAAATTACATGCGGTAACTTGCTGTGCCGTTGTCAAAACCGTTACAGTGCGCGAGAGAAATAGACGCAGTGATTAGTACGCAAGCTTGAAATTGAAATTCAGTGAAAAATAACGCTACACAAAATATTTACACGGACCCACACAAAGTTAAGTACCATAGTCTGGTGCAGAGTCCCCTCTCATGGAAATTACCAGAGGAGAGGGGGGGGGGGGGCAACGAAGTCTCATCAAAGTGCCCCTTCTCCTAACTGGGTCATTATATGGGGCAGACTTTGCGCCCCCCCTCTTAAGTGACGAAGTAAAAAAATCCTCCCTCTGCAACTCATGCGTACGCACATGACCAATCATTTGGATTCTTGCGCATTTTTCAACGGACAATATGGATGCAGTTTTGTCGGGAAAAGAGCATCACTTTATGTCTCTCTTTTTTCACGTCTTTTTTTGTCGTGTGTGTGTGTGTGTGTGTGTGTGTGTGTGTGTGTGTGTGTGTGTGTGTGTGTGTGTGTGTGTGTGTGTGTGTGTGTGTGTGTGTGAATGATTAGAATGGGGTAGAAAATTATTTAAAATTCTGGACTATTGTCTCTTCGCTTAGTCATGCATGTCGCAAAACAATTAAATAATCTTATATATCGGCGAAAGTAGATATTCACGCTCATGCTGGTATTTCTGGAAGCAAGGTATATTAGATGGCATATGCAAGGTATATGTACAAGAGACGCAAGTTGCTCACTAACTGTTCTGTCAAAGCGTACGCACTGACGTTCGCGAATGCCTCAATATTTTAGTGGGATAGTCGGGTTGAACAGTAGAAGTGCCTCAGACAGGCTGGCCGACGTTTCGATAGGAGGACCTGTCTTCGTCAAAGGCACGTGAAGTTGCCTGTGATTGGACAACGTCAAGGTGCCTTTGACGAAGGTAGGTCCTCCTATCGAAACGTCGGCCAGCCTGTCTGAGGCACTTCTATACTGTTCAACCCGACTATACCACTAGGTGTTTCCATCTGTCGGCTCCCATATAGATTTTGGATTTCAATATTTTTTTAGGAAAGTGCCGGATGTGTACTCGGATATTTTACTTTTTTTCTGGATCGGCGTTACCTGGCCGCTTCTCTGAGAGCACCACGCTCGCTCAACGTGGTGTGCTTGATGTCGTCGAAGTTTTTCTCCAAAGGCTTGCAGCTCTGAAAGAAACCATTCCACCTTATGCGAAAAGGCAGCATCACAGAGTTTGATTACTGCGACAGACTACGTCATTTCATTTCATTTCCTCTCATTTCATTTCGTTGTCTTAAAAGCCAAACAAGGTGCTACACAAAAGATCGCTTTACATATATTTCCTACACATTAGTTACCATGTGTATAAGCATTATAAAACACTGCATTATTAATATGAGTACATGATTGTGCAATGTTTGCAAGCATTCGGAATGTTGGAAAATACATCCAATAGTTTTTATTCTGAAGAATGATATGGGATCTTTTTTGTATGAGTGGGGGTGCGCTGGCTAGAGTAGTGATTTGGTGATTTGGTGGTTCTGCTATTTGCCTGGTTCACTTCGTGTTTCATTGATTGATGCGATTGATCATATGTGAGGTTTAACATCCCAAAAACCACCATAGGTCACTTCGTGCTTCGATTCCATTAATTATTCAGCGAAAGTTAGCTTATTCATGGGCCGGCAGTGAAATTGCCACCAAGATCTTGCTTAAATGTAGTTCACTAAGCTCGAGCTGCAAGTTGGTTTCATTGCTCTATTGTTCGCAAGAAGATTATGGAGCAAACTTTTTACGCTGGTACAGTAAGAAACATCATTAAAGCCAGGTAAAATAGAGTTAACGTTGCGATGATTTATTTTTAATCATGCCTCTTAGGGGCATATTAATTGAGACTGATAAACTCTCTATGAAATGAAGTTTTGAAATGGTACGAATAAAAGACAACTTATGATGTGTGTTAAAGCATTTTTTGGGGGGGAAACGTGCATCGTTATTATCACTGTTCTTCAATCGCCATGTCATTACTAATTTTCGATCATTCAAGGTGGAGAAAATCGTAAGGGAGAATGTTCTGTATAACGAGTGCTTCAATATACTTGGCGTACGTTTCAGTTGTCGCACCAGCCATGGTACATTGTATAACGTGCACTTTTCATATAGCGCCCTCTAGCACACGTTGATCACATTTACCGAACACGTCACGAACTTTAAACACAGTTGTAATATTGGTGGCAATACAACGCCATTGTTATTGATAAATACTGCGTTTTCTTTTCTCGTAATCATATTTCAATGCATTTAGCTTAGGCAGCAGGTGAAAATACGTCGTGCCGCTTAAAAGTAGTTAGTACTAATACACTCTTCTTTTTTGTGTTGACGGCAAATCTTGCGCTTCTGTAACGCCAGTGTTGCTTCTATGTACTTTCACCAATATCACTATAGTTTCTATTTGTCAGCTTATCTGCATAGTCCGCATCGTTTCCTCTGACAGGCCCTAAATAAAGTAATCTTGCTTCAACCACAGCTATCACTTTAAAAATAGGGTCAGAAAAGGAAATGAGGCTGTATATCAGACACACACAGTGAATACGTTATAAGGAAGCACGAGATAGCTGCTCGTTCTTACGCTGCACTTCTTATCGCTGTTCCTCTTCCAGTGTTGCTTTTTTTGCTTTGTTTCAGCGCTGGGAGTTGTCGTCGTTGTGTGCTTGACGCGTGGATTGAGTGCAAGTATATTCTGTGGATGAAAAACGCATCGAGCAAAATCAGTGCAACTTGGTTTAATTACCTTCAAGTGAACTTGGCAGCAGACGTAATGAAAACAAGATTACGAATCAGTGGCGATACGTTTCGACTTGATACAATGTACTTCCTTTCACGCACCTTAAATGATAATTTGTGACATGATAGCGACACCTGTCCGTAACATCACCGAATTTAGAGCCTCTACATTGTAACTAGCGCCAAAACACTTTGTGCCAAGATAACGGAGATGGCTATATGGTTCATTCTCAAAGAATATGTCTCAATATTCATACGCTACAAGAGTCGTCAATCGCGGGAGGGGGGGGGCAAACATTGCCCCTCCACCCCCTCCCCTGTCTGGCGTAACGCGATTAATAACCTTGCGCAGAGTTCCCCTTCAGGGGGAGGGGGGAGTTCGATCAATGTATTTGGCATGCTTTGCGCCCCTTCTTTTGGGCGACAAAGGGGAGACGCCTGCCATCCCCTCTCCCGTGCACACACCTATACCTTTTGCTTGCAAATGATGGTGTCGCTTCGATGATAAACTTATTGTGTGTACCTCACACAGCGCACAGTTCAATCCCTCTGGCTCCTCCCTAGCCCCCTTCCCCTCACAAATAAGAAACACGGGTCTCTGCGCGCATCACCTCACAATTACCTGTTCAGTGTTTGCGTTACAAATTTGTGTTGAAAACAAAAGCTTTAAAATTTATGTAATGAAGAACAAGAAAAAAAAGGTGTCTGACATACAATAAAGAAGTGGTCGCTGTTTTTTATGGTTTGGAACCGTTCAAATGAAATAATTACTGAACCTCCGGCTAGAGATGACTCTTCTGTTAAGATACCGACATTGAACAACTGTCTCCTGGTGGCACTACTTTTTTTTTTTTTTGCTGCTGCTGCTCAAGTGCATGAATTGCGTCCAACTGACCCAATCTGCCATCCTGCTACGACTAAGGGTGACAACGCGATTGGAGCGAAATACAACAAATTTTATTTATTCAGTGAACTAAATCGGTAAATATTTGACACGACAGAAATAAACTGAACAAGCGTGTACTAGATCGGCAGTACTGCTAAAAACAAGCGGGCAATAAATACTGCGGCCTAACACGGCCGTCCAATATGCTTACAAGCGAACATTTGGAAGAATATGTTATGCTTTGTATACACCGTTGCAGAAAAAGCTGGTATACCGTGAAGTTTTTCTTTCGCTTGATCTGGTTACCTCAATTATCTTTAACAGTGGGGTCATTATATAGGAGGTGGGTGGATACCTTAAAGAAATATAAAATGTGCACACATTGTACAACCATAATGAAGTCGTAATGAGAAGTGGGCAGCTATTAAGTATGAAAATAAAACGAATGTTGCGGAACACGGCTGAATACTCAGCCCGTCGAAAAAATGCGTGCATTGCATTCATTTTCTGTATTACCAGGCGGCCGACCTTCTTGGGCGCCATCCAGCGATGCAAGCGAAGCTGGCAGCGTGGTGCGAGCGTGCTTTGAAAAGCGTGCATCATTCGACAAAGTACGAGACGCGTCGAGACGCTCGGAGCAGTAGGACGCACTGTACATCGTCTCCCGAGCCTTTCGGCATTTTCGCTGCGACGCGTGCTTACTGACCAATAATTTATGTATGAGTGGGTGCATGAGGTTATTGGGAACGCGCGGATATCACTCTCTGCACTGGATTTATCAAGATTCTCCCAGGAGCATCTGCTGACCCGACCAACGCCGCTCGCCGCCCTGAGCCTAGCCGGCTCAGCGCGCGTCCGGCTCCTTGCCTAAGCCTGGTGCAGCGTCTCACGCTACTCCCATCGTCGTGCCCAGCCGCCCACCGGAATGGAGTGCGTCGTAGAAGGTCATACCATCTCTGAAGAGGAGTGGTCCGACGATTCCTGGCAATCGCCCGGCTATCGTGCCCAGGAACGACGCCGACGGGAACTTCAAAACCAAGGCAAGCCCGTTCTTCAACCGTGTACGTCGGAGAATGCCCGCGCCGCTGTGCCGGAACGCCAACCCCAGGTCAAGTCACGTCCGCCTCGGTTACGTCGGCGGGCACCACTCCCCCGATTGCCGCAAGACTCCATTCATATAGTAGGACGTCCAAGAACGCCCATCGACTTGACGAAAGTGCCGCCGTGGCAATTGCACGACGCCCTGCTCAAGGCAGCTTCACTGCCAGATCAGCCACCAGCAAGTCGGGATCGCCTTCGGACGCACCCCACCAATAATACCTTTACCTTGAGCGTGATCGACTCGCAACGCGCCCAAGCCTACCTTCGAGTGAAGTCGATTACCATCGGCGCTGCTACTATCGAGCTCCATGTCTACGCCCCCCCTCCAGACGACGCCATACGAGGCATCATGTTCCATGCATACGATGACTTCTCAGACGAAGAGATTTTGGCAGACCTACAAGCCAGCAACCCCACCATTCCTATCGTGAGTGGAAGACGCTTGGGCCAAACTAGGCACGTCGTGGTTGCACTAATGACGCCAAACCTTCCAAAGTGGATATTCTACCACGGAACCGACATCAGGCTGTACCCGTTCTACAACAGGGTGGAATCGTGTTTTAACTGCCGCAAGGTTGGTCACCGCACGGATGTTTGCCCGATGCCACGTAAGCAGCGGTGCCGCCGTTGCGGAGAGGAACACCCCACACCAGGACAGGGCGAAACACCCGCATGCACGCCACGCTGCATCGTCTGCAATGGTGCACACAACACCGGCAGCTCAAACTGCAAGTATCGCTTTATCAAGAAGGCGCCACCCACCCCGCAATCGAAGCAAGAAGCGCAAGAACCTTCGTCGAACATCCATCGCAACCCATCTCACAGTGGCTCCTCCAGCAGACGCTCACCATCATCTCGAGACCATTCTGCATCTTTCCCACCACTCGGGAACAGCAGCAACCAGCAGCAGCGCCGAGAGAGCAGGTCCCCATCCCACACCCGGCGCTCAGGGTCTCGTTCAGCTAAACGACGTGGCAGCAGGTGTCGATCCCACAGCAGGCGCCCGAGGTCACGCTCAGCCCAACGACGAGACAGCAGGCCCTCATCTCACTCAAGGTCCAAATCAGCCAGGCGCAGCCCATCGGTGTCTCGTTCATCCAGTCGAGGTCCCGGAGAAGCGTCCAAGTCGGTGGCCTGGCAGCGGGGCGCCCCGGCATCACTACTATTTTCCGATTCACAGGTGAGGGAGTTGGCAAAGGAGAATTCTGCCCTTAAGGCTCAAATCTCGGCCCAGCAGTCCCAGATAGCTAAATTGACTAGCTACATCCAGTCGCTAGAAGCCAAAATAGATAGAGCACTCAGTATCGACAAACAAACTACACCCACATCATCCGAAACACAAGACGCACATCCGAACCCCCTGGCACCAAACCCGGCGTTATCGCCAGTTCCTCAACTTCAGAACGCTAATAAACGCAAGGCAGCTACACCCACAGCTTCACTTCACGCAGACGCCGACATCACTACAAAAGTAACGACGGCAGTCACGGCAGCCATCTCAACGCTAAAATCCGATCTGAACGCTGAAATAGAAACGCGCTTTAATGCGATCCACCAAACCATCCGGGAAACAACCACCTCATTCGCCGTGTTAAAGAGCTCGACCGAAGCTGCACTGGCCGACTTCAGTGTGCAGTTGGCCATCCACCGCACACCATCCAATAGCCGGCAAACACCGGCCCCTACGCCAATAACATAGTCATGGCGGCTCTCCACACGCTCACCGTCTGGCAGTGGAACTGCAGGAGCTTCCGCAATAAGAAGGGCCATCTGCAGCAACATATCCAGCATATTCAAAACCATGCACCAAATGGGGAATGTTCGCCGGACATCATAGTTTTACAAGAAACGAACACTGCCGCTCAACTGCCCGGATACGCATCATATAATCAGAAAATAGACATATCCGCGAGCGCACAATGCCACACTGCCATCTTAGTACACAAGAATGTCACAGCCATTCAACATGAAATTGAGGGTACGAGTATTCATCACACACTGGTGGAAATTATACCAAAAAGACGAGGAGACAAGCCACTCTTCATTTTAAATATATACAGCCCTCCAAGAGATACAGCTGCGGATCTACCTTACATCTTTCGGAAAGCAACAAATCTGGCGAAGGATGCAAAGCTGCTCGTACTAGGCGATTTTAACGCAAAACATCCCGAATGGGGATACCCGAAATCCAACCCCAAGGGTCGCCGATTATGGAGCATCATACACGACCTAGGTTTCAGTATCCTCAATGATCCGGAGCAATCGACGCGAATCGGGAACAGCGTATGTCGAGATACTACCCCAGACCTCTCCCTTTGCAAAAACACGGAGGGTGCCCGTTGGCAAAACACAGGTCACACCGTAGGAAGTGACCATTTCATTCTAGCGGTAACCATTGAGTTAACCACAAGCAATGTAAAAAAACGAGCCACAGCTCGCATTACAGACTGGGATAAATTCCGCCAACTGCGCAAAGAAACGGCACCCGATTCGGTATTGGACTTGAACGAATGGATACTTTCTTTGAGTCGAGATGTGGACGCTACAACATACCAAGCAAACGTAACTCCGGAACAGCCATCAACAGATTCACGCCTTCTACATATGTGGGAGGCGCATGAAAGCCTCATGCGTAGGTGGCGGCGCCAACGTCACAACACAAGGCTCCGCCGCCGCATCTCGAGGCTCGAACGTGAATTAGAAGCCCACACCGCTGTGCTAACACGCCAACAGTGGGGCCAACTTTGCGGCAGCCTCAATGGCCAGATGGGCTGCAAGAAAACGTGGCATCTTCTGCGACACCTGCTGGACCCTGGTAGCTCCAAGTCGGCCGCACGCAAACAGCTCGCGCGAATTGTCCATCAATACCCGGGCACCAACGAAGAGCTGCTGGAGGAGCTCATCACCCGCTACATCAACACATCTCAGAAACAGAACAGCACAGAGCAGTTGCCTGAATACACTGGAACAGCCAACGAACAGTTGGACGCCGACATTTCGGAAAGTGAGGTTTGCATAGCGCTACATAAACTGCGTACAACATCGGCACCCGGTCCTGACGGGGTGACAAATAAGACGCTGCGCAACCTCGATCCAAAGTCGGTAGGGGCCATTACTGAATATATGAATGAGTGCTGGAGGTCCGGCCATTTGCCATCAGAATGGAAACACGCAAGGGTCGCGTTTATACCGAAACCGGGCAAGAAACTCGACCTGGAGAATCTTCGTCCAATCTCGTTGACCTCCTGCCTGGGCAAACTAATGGAGCATGTTGTCCTCTGTCGCTTGCAAAATTTCGCGGAAGAGCACCGCCTACTTCCCCCCACAATGCTGGGCTTCAGGGCCCATCTATCCACTCAGGATGCGCTCATCCAGTTGCATCACGATCTCCTACGACCTGAGAGTGGCACTAGTACCAAGGCTTTGCTCGGTCTGGACCTTCACAAAGCATTTGACAACGTGAAGCATAGTGCCATTTTAGGCAGTCTGTCCGAACTACGATCCGGGGAACGCATATTTAACTACGTCCGTGCTTTCTTATCTAATCGAACGGTTGAACTCTCAGTGGGTGACCTTCGTTCTAAGCTCATCACACTCGGTGATCGCGGCACCCCGCAGGGAGCTGTTTTGTCCCCTTTCCTTTTCAACCTCGCTATGAGGTCACTACCTCCCAAACTTGACACGATACCCGGCCTGCGATACACCCTCTACGCAGATGACATCACGCTCTGGACGACGGTGGGATCCGATGGTCAAATCGAGGAGACTCTTCAAAGAGCAACCGACGTAGTCGTTCAGCACGTGTCAGAAGCGGGTTTGGAGTGTTCCCAGAGCAAATCGGAGCTACTATTACTGCGACCTCCAAATCGCCGCAAAATTAAGACTCCACTTCCTAGTATTAACGTGTATGTCAATGACACGCCAATTAAGCAGGTGGCCCACATGAGAGTACTCGGACTCATTGTGCAAACAAACCACCACAACAACATTACGCTAGACCGTCTCACCGTAACCGTGAACCAGACGGCCCATCTTATATCTCGAGTGAGCGCTCGCAATCGAGGCATGAAGGAGAAAGAACTGCTACAGATAATTCAAGCCTTCGTTTTGTCGCGCTTCACGTACGCCCTCCCTTATTTGCACCTCCTTCAATCTGAGCGAGCCCAACTAAATCGGCTCTTACGCAAAGCGTATAAGGTGGCATTGGGTCTCCCCCGAAACACATCGACAGAGCACCTCCTCAGTCTTGGGCTGCATAACACCTTAGAAGAACTTCTTGAAGCGCATCTTACGGCGCAAATTCACCGATTACAGGGAAGCAGGACGGGGCGTTGGATCCTTGCTAACATTGACCATGTGGTATCTCCTACGGGTAACGATCCGGCTGTCATCCCCCCCAACATCAGAAAGAAATTCCTCATAAAACCACTGCCAAAGAACATGTTGGCCAGCCATCACGACGGTAGAAGGAAAGCGAGGGCCAAATTCTTGCAAAAAACGTACGCGTCCAACCCAACCGTTGCGTACGTTGACGCCGCCCAATACCGAGAGTTTACTAAAGCATATGCAATAAGCGTAATCACTCTCCCCGGCAACAACGCCAATTCACCTCAAATTAAAGCGGCTGCTTCTGTCCGTGTGCTTAATACGACAGAAGCTGAGGAAGCGGCGATAGCGCTAGCAGCAGCATCCGGATTCACCACTATACTCAGTGACTCAAAGGCTGCTATATCCAACTTCGCACGTGGCATTGTGGCCCCCACAACTCTGCGTTTACTATTGCCCAGTCTCCTTACAGATGCTGAGGAAGACGCACTATCCTCCATTGCGCTGGTATGGGTGCCGGCTCACGCGGGGAACCCAGGGAACGAGGCGGCCCACCTATATGCTCGAGGATTCGTCAGCCGAGCGGTGGTACCCGCCTCTGATTTGGAAAACCCTGGTGAAGCCTTGACATCCTACCATGACATCACACAATATTACCGTCTTTCGAGGCAGACAAAACCACCCCCGCACCATAAGCTAACTAAGCGCCAGGAGGTTATCTGGCGCCGCTTGCAAACACATTCATTTCCGTGCCCATACATTTATGCACGTATATACCCCGACTCGATTGATCCGCATTGCTCGCATTGTGGCTCAATAGCCACACTTAATCACATTCTCTGGGCCTGCAGGGAAGATCCCCCCTCTCTCGATCTCCTAGCCGCTCCCTCGCCAGAGGGGTGGGAGGCAGTTCTGACCTCCACCAGCCTGGCCGTTCAGCTCCAGGCCGTACAAAGGGCAGAGGAGGTGGCCATCAGGTTCAGCCTGGCGGGTCACCTACCTCCTTAAGTCTGACGACAATAAAGTTGTGTTCTCTCTCTCTCGACAAAGTACGTGCATCCCTCCAGGGTTTGCCCTTGGACGCGTTGCGCGTAATGCGAGCAGCGATGACTCATCGCGACCTTCGATGCGACCACGTGTTTTGGGTTCTAGTTTCCGCTTGCAACACCGACGGACGCTGTGCAGCTTCTCGCGCTCTGCAACAATATGTCCACACAGCGGTTTGACAGTTGTGTATTTGCTCGCATGATAACACGCAGACTACAACAGCCTAGTTGGCCGTCAAAAAAAAAAAACAGTTGAACGTGTGAAAGGTACGAAGGAGGGTGCCACCAGCAACACGGTGGTTCTATAATTGGGAAGGTATGCTGGGAATTCCTGTTTTTCTAACTGCGAGGTTCTTTCAGCTATTGACCATTTGTACTCCGTCATGTAAAACTCCTCGGGTCGGTATGCGACACAGGAATTGGGCGAGCCCAACTACCAAAATCATGAGGTGCGAACGATCAATGAAAACTCTGCTCAATGAAGTGGAGCACATGTAATACTCGAAAAAGATAGAAATAAGGTAAGGGATAGAAAAACTAGAAAGAGAAACAGAGAAAGCGAGAAAGTAATAGAAAGGAAAAGGAGGATAATAGAGAAACGAAGTGAATAAACGCGTAACGAATGAAAAGACAGAGAAAGAGATCGAAACAGACGCAAAACAGAGATAGTAATAACAGAACGATACAGAAAAAAAAGACAACGAGAGCCAGAAAAAAAAAACAAAAAGAGAGAGAGAAAGAAGCAGTAGGAAGATAGACAGTTCAAAAAAAAAGAAGAAGCGGTAAATAATGAGATACAGGAACGGAAGAAATTGAAAGAAGGATAAACTAGTGAGACAGAGAAAGAAATAGCGAAACTATATACAAGAAATGAAGAACCATACAGAAGAAGCAGGAAAGATAAGAGAAAGAAAAGTAAAGAGAAACAAGGATAGCCAATCAGCTCCGCTGTTTCTTGAGGCTTGGAGACACTAGCTTGAAGCTGCCACAATTTCTTAAAGTGCAAACAAAGCAATGCTTGGTGGTGTGTGTGCTGTCACTGTTTGGCAAAACGTATTGGGACATTCGGAACTTTACAATGCCTTGCGTCAGGACACGTTCGCTCTGCTGTGCCGGTCAAAAACTACACCATTTCCCGCTAAAGGGAACCATGTGTAGATGCGAAACAGTGGGCATTATCGTGAAGCAGGCGACATGCGTGTGCAATGGGGCTGTATACGCCACTGGGAGAGGAGCCTAGTGGGGAGAGATGTGGGGGGAGCAAGTAGACGCCTCCTGCATCGTTGTTGCGAGATGAGAGAGGGGGAGAGGTGCGCGCATGCGCTGTAAATGTGGTCACTCCACACGCCGGATTGAGATCGACCGTAACGCGTTTCGCATCCGAAAACGGACAAAACGAAATTACTACAAAATTGTGCGGGGCGGGCACCCCTACTTTTCTATGTATAATACGGTGACCAACACGTGCTGTGGCATCCATAACCGAACGACATGGAAGCGTAGCACCGCCTACACTTGGATGCGCGCACACGAGTGCGTATTTTGGCGGGAGATAGAGTTTAACTGGAAGGAGAGAGAGGGCAACATCCATCCTTAGGTCTCTATAAAACTTCACCATTCATACACTACTGCTCTCCCTATTCAGTATACTTCCCGCGTCAGCAGTGCTTCAAAATCGCCCTTTAAATGCAGCCAGGTTTTCAACGTTGAAAGAGTGCGACTTCCACTAGTGGGGTTATATCGAGACGCGAATCTAGCTGGCGAGTGCGTGGTGATAAAATTAGGCTTTCGGAAAACACTGCCAGAGGAAATAGAGAACGGCGCAAATTCAAGCTACAGTTTGTTAGTTTTGCATGGTACTGAGTATAACTAGGCGAAACTTGTGATAACCACGATATGACACACAAAACAAGGACGATAAGGGGCAATCGTCCCTCTGTTATATCTCTTCTTTGCATTGTCATTTAATGCTTTGCCCTTAATGGTTTACGAACTGTATCTGTCGCATACGTGTCCCCATTCCTTTAAAAAATGTAAACGTCTGTCAGCCAGCTTCATGGCATCTAAGTCAACTTTGCGACTCACTTCCAACGGGATATTATACGGTGCGCACATTCACGAAGCACTTCACTGCCGTAAGCAAATCAGAGCGAGGTCGAGTTGTTGAGCCAGTTACGTGAAATAAAGGCCAAGATTGTAAACATGAAGCGATAACAAGGGGAGGCGGGCTGCTAAGAAATAGGGAGGGTATTTGCTTTTTGAACGATCTGTGTTACTGTATATTTGTAGGTTGTGCTGTAGTTTGCATGACTGCACGACCTTATAGAATATACATATTTTGAATAATCACCTATTGTACGTTTCATCTGTGCTAGTGTTGATTTTTTTTTACCGATGCTGCAAGAACTAAGCAGCTATTTACCATCGCTTTTCTCATCCTTTGATGAGGTACATACTCCCGACATGCCAATTGCGTAATGAAAGTGCTGCGGAAGTTCAATTCTTGTGCTGCCCCCCCCCCCCTACACAGTGCCTTAACTGAGGTCTGTAAGGTATGTTCAAATAAATAAATAGAGTGTTTAAAACGTGCTTACCTCAATATCCGGAGGATCTACACTTAGCTGATCCGGAAGCCACGCGGAGGACTGCATTTTCCGGCCTTAAGTACGTATATCCACCTTGAATTTCGCACCGGAGCACAAGCGCGTGGAACGTACACGCGATTCACGAAGTGGCGCTCTCGAACAACGGCCAAGACACAGAAAACAACAAGCACCGGGAGTGGCCACAGCGAGAAGCGTAACGCTCATAAGCGTCGTTCTACAACTCCCGCTCGCTTTGTCGGGCTTCCAAAGGTCGGGGTGAAAAAGAGAGAGTCGAACAGTTGGGGAGATAGATAAAAGGGCGGTAGTTTGAAGCGTCGAGGAGCGGTTTATCGTCTCGTGACGTAAGTTCCCCGACGCAGCAGCTGGGTATCACGAGTTGGGAGAAGAGGATAGCAGAGAGCAAGGGCAAGTTGATTGCGCAGCCCAGTTCCTGCCGCTCGGAGTGTAGAAGTGGTGGCGAGAACTGTAGCAGCTGGAGGAGGCAGCAACCCTCCTCGCGATCAGGCGGGAGCGGCGGTGGAGTTGCGATAATGAAGTCGCTTGACCGGATTAAGAGCCGCGAGCTATATCGTCGACGTTTCGTAACTATGGCAGCGAATCCGCGTCTAACGCCCCGGCGACTTTAGAAAGATAAACGAACTCTTCGCATCGGCAAGAGGCTTGAAGTCATTTTTTTTTTTTATTTTGCGGTGCAGATGTAATGAGCGAATCTTTTGTAACTATGATTTCGGTGACGGCGCCGTACGCTGTAAAAGCACCGCTGACCCAAGGTGGTGCGCCGGCCAAGCGCGTATTTGTATGAACCATTGATTGATTGATATGTGGGGTTTAACGTCCCAAAACCACTATATGATTATGAGAGACGCCGTAGTGGAGGGCTCCGGAAATTTAGACCACCTGGGGTTCTTTAACGTGCACCCAAATCTGAGCACACGGGCCTACAACATTTCCGCCTCCATCGGAAATGCAGCCGCCGCATCCGGGATTCGAACCCGCGCCCTGCGGGTCAGCAGCCGAGTACCTTAGCCACTAGACCACCGCGGCGGGGCATTTTTGTATGAACCATTATTCCAAAACCAATGCTCCTTCGAATGTGGACTTGTCAGCGATAAGTGGTATCTGATATGGCAATCTGGTCTTTTGCCGAGGTCACTTGTCACTTCACGTTGCCTCAGTGCATTGTTGCCGGGATATGAACTCCTGGCCATCGTTGTCGCCTCTAGCAACTGAAGTGTTTCGCTGCTCAAGGCGCGCAAAAAGTCCGATTCCTGAAATGGCTGAGGCAACAGTCCGGAGAGAGTGTTCTGCAACGTGAAAGAAAGAAAGAAAGAAAGAAAGAAAGAAAGAAAGAAAGAAAGAAAGAAAGAAAGAAAGAAAGAAAGAAAGAAAGAAAGAAAGAAAGAAAGAAAGAAAGAAAGACAGAAAGAAAGAAAGACACGCACATGCCAAAACTCGTTTGCCCCCATTTTCCCAATGGTGGACGAGCGCCTTGATCACTAAGTGGTTATTTTTTTATTTATTTATTTATTTATTTATTTATTTATTTATTTATTTATTTATTTGGGCTCTGTTTGTCTGCCTGACGTGTTACATGGGCCGACCTTAACTCTTTTTTTTTCTCATATTGTAAGCTCAATATCAGCTACCCTTGTTTGCACGTTCATTTCCCACACTACAGACTTCCCGTCTCCTTAAGGTCAACACAACCTTTCCCGTTTAGTATATCGTTAAGAGATCGCTCGCTATTCCCAAGTTCTTTTTTTTTTCTTTTAAGCCTCAAATTTAGCGTTGTTATTAGCGCCCGCAGTTTGCAGTAATTGTCAAGACGTATTTTGAGGGGCTAGCAGCTGTCTCATACTTGAACTATGACATCGCGAGCAAAGACAGGAAACCAGACGAAGATTGAAGACACGTGCACAAGATGCACTAACAACTGAAAATTTGTTCACTTGTCGCTCACACTTTGCCGTTTCTCTACGCAATTCGCAACCCATTGAAGGAAAGCATTCGCGGTACCGCTGTTTATTATGTGCTTCCTGGCGCCATCTTCGGGTGGGATCGACGATAGGCTGTGTCCTGTGGTATGTCAGCAGCTTTAGTTTCCACAACGGTTGAATCATGATCACGGTTGTTAGTCGTCGGAATGCAGATGAGCCACTAAGCGTTAGTGCGGATATGAGTAACAGTGAAGCTTGAACACAGGTCGTTTGGGTCCGAGTGGGGATTGAACCCTGGTCGTTTGCGTGCAAGCGGATATTCTAACACACGGCCAAGCGTATGTTTTTTTAGTGCTTTGAAAGTGAATACATTAAAAATAAGTTCATCTGCTTGGAAATGCAGTGAAATTACAAACACGCGTGTCCTGTATACACGCTTGACAATAAACATGAACTATTGCAGTAATAATGCGTGGTACAAGCGCCCATTGCAATCGGGGGTCATAACACGTGATTATCATAATGACTTCGCGGTTTATTGCCGGTGACCGACTACAAAAGGCACAGTAAGTATAATCTAGTCATATGTTTATCCAAGCATATCAATAAGCTATTTCCCATTTCCATCATTCCATCCTCCTCACTTGTCAATACCAACAACACTAGATTTGCTTACCACAAAAACTTCATCTTACCAAAAGCCCGGACTAACTATGGCAAACAAACCGCTCATTTTAGCTCACTTTCCATATGGAATTCACTTCCATTCATCTTAAAAGTAATGAATCCACACTCGTTTGTAAAAGAATTAAAAAAGCTCTTTGTTAACCAATACAACACGTAGCACTTCATTCTCATAGCCCCTAAAGCATGCTCTCACACATATATGTATGTGTGTATATATATGTGTGTATATATGTGTAAATGTATGTGTGTATATATGTATGGTGTATATATGTGTGTATATATTTATATATTTTTTTCTCTTTACATCTCGTGTTTACATGGTTTCTTTATATTATGAAATGTGCTTGATCACCCATATCATTATGATTATTGAAATTTTTCCCTTCCTGTCGAAGCTATGTTTTATTTGTTTTTATGTTCATCATGCACAGGAGGTCCCAATTCAGTCTCCGACTACGGGACCTCCTTCTGTATACTGTCTGTAATGACTTCACTTTGTATTAACAATAAAATTTGATTCTGATTCTGATTCTGACACGCTACTGCGCCTGTTTGCTGTAAGTTCACGTAGTGGGTACATAGCAAGGTCGGAAAGGTTTCATGCACTAAGTGTTTGAAGTACGTACTAGGAACAGAAGATCGCTATCGCATTCAAGTCGTAAAGGCGAAGATTTAGGGTTCCCTAATTTCTTGTATCGAAAGTTAACTCGATCTCCGAAACAAGCGATGAAAGACTGGTGATGTACGTGTGAATCCGTAAGATAAACTCTTTCGAATAAAGCAGGAGACACAGTGTTGCCTGTCAACGCTGGTCGCTTGAGCGCAGAAAGCACTGCACGTTATCTATAGATAAAGAGTTATCTTGCGTGCCACGCGCCCGCTGGGAAGTGAAGAGGCATCCACCTGCCACATTGTTCTCTAATCTCCCGCGTTGTCCTGATGCCCCCCTGATGTTGAGTTTCGGCCGACGAGATGCTCTTATACCGGCTCTCAGTAAGGGCTCCTTCATACGAAATGTTACAATGCGAAATGACGAGTGACTTCGCTAAAATATCATGTTTTCGTAGCAGAAATGGCTTAAGGCTAATGAGCTTATCATCGAGAGAGTATTAATTAACCTGGGAAAAATTATTGCAAGAACTTTCGATCGGTAAATTTTTTCAGCACATTTTTCTATGCGCTGCAGTGCGTGTAGATGTGAGGCAAGACTTGCCAATATCGCCATTTTTGGTAGAAGCGAGGAGGGGATTAATCGAGTGATGCCTGAAGCATAGTACGTAAGAAAAAAAAAGATGTCCGTATTAGCCATACGCCGGTTGTGGTGCGTTCAGCTGAGTTTGAATCGTTTGAATGGTTTCTTTAACTAGCACTCGCACGGATGGTAGCCGTTCGTTATATGACGCGTGATGTGTTACAACGCATCTGTGGCATAGTGTAAATATTGCGACAGTTTCGTAAGAGTCAAGTTGGCTGCGAGTGACGTTCTTTCCTTTTGCCTATTGTTCTTGGTGGTCTAATAATATATCAATACGCGGTGTTGTACGTCCCAAAACCACGGTATGATTATTAGAAGACGCCGCAGTGGAAAGTTACGGAAGTTTCTACCGCTTGGTGCTCTTCAAAGTGCACTGACAACGCACAACGCAGGAGCATCTGGCGATTCACCTCCGTCGAAATACGGCTGCCGCGACAGAGATCAAAGCCGCAACATTCGGGGCAGCAGCCGAGCACAATAAGCACTGTTCCACCACGACAGGGTTCCGGGTTGATTGCGTCGTCTAATTTTCTTGCAGTAGACCAAGTATCCAAACAAGTGTTACTGAAATATTGAAATATTACGCATACTTATACCTGCGAGTTGGGCCAGGGGGATGGTGAAGAGAGTGTTTACCATTAATAGTGATCGAAGGTCATTTATACAATGAAAATGAATCGCTACAACAAAACAAATCTTGTGAAGTAAGGAATAAAATTAGCGTCGTTACACGGCAGCAGCTGCCAAGTTAATAATGAGAGTAAATGAAGATTAACTGGCGGCGTGTAGTGGTTGAAAGCGCAGATAGTTGCTGTACTTTTCTGTATTTCCATTCAGTTTTACTACACAAGAGATTCACTTATTTGTTTAAATATTCAGTTGCAACTCACGGAAGCCGTTTCTTGAAGTAAAAACATGATTGTTCTGTTGCGAAGAAGCACACTTTTTTGCCCCTTAGTGTGTTCCGTAACGACCGAAATTTCTCCATCAAAAAACAATTTCTTTGCAAATTCATATTACTCGAACATTTCTAGCTTGCTTAGAAATAAATTTCAAGTGTGGCAATTTGCAAAATGAAAGAATTATCGTGCAGTGCGCACCTCTCAACTGCCGATGCCATAGGCATACTCGTGAACTTCAAAGCGGCCAATTTGACGCGTAAAAACGTTTGTTTTTATGCGGCACGGTTGAGATATCCACCGAGAACCAAAGGGAAGTTGGGCCAGTGATTTAGAAGATGGGTGCGTACGGGACCTGAACGCGTTATTTGTTGAAAGCGAAGCTCGTGTATCCTTCCAACTAGAGTTGCCATTTCCGCTAATAATAGCCGAACTTCGGCTGTCTGTCTGTCTGTCTGTCTGTCTGTCTGTCTGTCTGTCTGTCTGTCTGTCTGTCTGTCTGTCTGTCTGTACATTTGTTTGTTTGTCCACCATTACCGCGAACTGGGTACTCTAAACAGCACAAGGAGATATCC